ATGTCCAGAAAACGCAATTAGTTGGTTCAGATCTTTTCTTTCTGGGTGTACACAAAGAGTTTCCTTTGAGAGTAATCTTTCAAAACCACAGTGTGTTGTTAACGGAGTGCCTCAAGGATCTATTCTTTGTCCTCTATTGTTTACTATATATGTTAATACATCGCCTACTGCAATCAGCAAAGGTTCCATAGATATGTATGCTTATGATACACCTTTCACTTTAAGAGGTAAAACTGCTTCTGAAATAGAACAGAAACTCTGTGTAGCCATGAACGAGATATGTAATTGGTTCATTAAGTATTGTCTTGTTTTAAATTACGAAAAGTCAAATGGACATATATGGGATCCAAACACAAATTAGGCACAGTATCCTCCTTAAAGGTAGAGGTTTTAATAATCACACACTTAACCGCTCAGCAAAGCAAAGCAAAATGTGTTGGTGTTATTATTGACGAGCCGCTGAACTGGTCTGAACATGTTGATAAACTTGTGAGTACAGTTCAGGCAAAGCTTGGCATGTTTCAATGTGTGAAACCATACCTACCAATTCAATCTCTCAAACTTCTCTGTAACACATTTATTTTACCTCACATCATTTTACCTATCACATTTGTGTCTTTATTTAATTTTAATTTTGAGTCTTACTTTATTTTCATGTGCTTTCCACACTTATGATTTTTTATTCCTAATTCTTTGTAAATAGTATTTGGCTTTTTCACAGTTTTGCAAAAAAGGCATTCTGTTTCTTCTGTTTTTTTGGCTTTTTTCGCAATTTTGCGAAAAAGGCATTTCTTCTTCTTCTTGTTTGTTTTTTAGACGTTCTTTCTACCCCTCACTTTACTGCTTTTGCAACTTTGGATCTTCATCAAACTTATACCGATGAAGAACCCTTATGCATAGATGGTTTTAGAAACATAACGTCATGATGACATCATCAAGCAATTTATTATTGATTTTTACATATTTCGAGGCACCATTTTGGTACCGTAGTAATCGTTGATTGTCATCAAAGTTACACCAAGCACTAACTATAAAATGAAGATAATACTGATATATTTATGTCATGATGACATCATCAAGTGATTTGTTATTAAATTTGGAATATTGAAATATTCCGTTTAATTGATAAAAATCCTTATAAAATCAACCGTGGCCTCCCGCAACATTCTGTTTGCAGCAAGTGGGAGGATAAAATGTGGTCTTTAATTCATCTCGTGTGGGTTAAATCACATGTCCCTTCCGGTCGAAACTGGAAGTGGACTTTTTGTTCGAAATTGGTAATAGGTATCAAGTTGTTTTCAATGGTGTTAGTCTGTTGGGGTATAGTATTCTTCAAATCATCTACCGATGATGTCACCTAATTGTCGAGTGCCCTCTAGCAACAGGTTAAAAAATCTGAAAAATGAATTTTGAATAGATATCTGTGGCAAAGTTTGTTCGAATCACCTGAAAAATGATTTAAATGATCATCTTTACCCAGTCAACACATGTGTGAAGTTTGGGGCTGATGACGTCACCAGACCTGAAGTTACAATAAAAACTTCTTTTTTTCTTCAAAATTCGGTAAAAAATCAACCATAAGAGATATAAGCGTGAATTGTCCATGAGAAGACAGCTAAAACATTGGAGTCAGTAGAGTGAAGTGTATAACTGCTGTACGTTTTTACACATATGAAGCGCTGTAGACAAAAACCCCCCTTACAATATAAATTGCCAACTCGAAAATCCCTTTCGCATACTGTGCCGTGGCTACTGTGTGCGTGGACGCCCAATATCTGCCTGTAATATAGACGGCGCACGGTGCGTAGGGCATATACTTGGGACCTGGCAAATTGCCGAGCACGTGGTGCGGAGAGCTGATCCCATTGTATGGAACAACAAAAGAGACAAATGGTTAAAATGTTTCATTTGTGCCTTTTCCACGATAACTATAATGTTTTGTATTGTATATTGTATTGTACATGTCTGATTGGGTTGAAACCTTGCAGGTAGTTGGGAAGGGAAGGTATACAAACAGAAATTGACCTCATGTGATGACAATGCCATAAGCAGACGAGTCATGTGACATTAAATGTGTATCATTTGAAGTACTTTATCTCCTGAAGTGCATGTCTGATTTGGTTGAAACTTGGCACTTGAAAGGTAAGTGTTTTAGCCGAAATATACCTCATGTGATGATGATGTTATCAGGGGACAAGTCACGTGATATTAAAGGTGCATTCTTTACGGCCCTATATCTCCCAAAGTACATGTCCGATCAGGTTCAAATCTTGCAGATATTTTGGAAAGGGAGTGCTTTAAAGGAATATTGACCTCATGTGATGATGGCGTCATCAGGAGACAAGTCACTTGACATAAGAAAGGGATGCAAAAAGCCCTCTGTTCTGTTGTCCAACAGACAGATGACCTCTCGTTTTTGTTTTTGTTTTCTTCTTTTTCTTCTTCTGGTCAAAAGCCCATTTGTTTTGTACACGTTTTTGTCGCCGCGACTTTAGTGCTTTTGCAACTTTGGATCTTCATCAAACTTATACCAATGAAGAACCCTTATGCATAGATGGTCCTAGAAACATGAGTGATGTATCATTGAATTTTACATGTATACATGTATTTTAGCCCATTCACTTTGTACATATTTTCAAGGCACAATTTGGGTTACTTTGCGATGCTCAATCGTTACAGCTGGCGAAGACCATGATGCAAAATCATTGCCTAATTTATGACGTCACAATGGCATCGTCACCTTACTTTATATTGCTTTTTAAATGTTTATGTGTTCACCATAGGTTTTGTACACGTTTCTTCAGCAACCAGACTTCGATAGCCTTATAGGTCTGACTGGTTGTATATCAGCCATATTTCATTACTTTTGCTCAAATACCTTCACAGACACCATCCTGAATAAATGGTAGCCCATAACGAAAAAATGACTATTTTAGTATTGATGCTGAAACTTAACACACATAATATCTTCATTCACGCACACGATGTATTCGGCAATGTGAGTGATGTTTGAGTATGAGTGCTGAAAAAAGAAAATAAAGTCCAACTTTAACTTTGTGATCAGTGACCTATGTCCGCAAGATTCGTTGAGAAGTAACAATTAGTCAGAATGTGTACACAGAAAAGTATCATTTTTTTCTTACACTTCAATTTCAATCACTTCAATTTTGTGATATTATAAACTATAGGCAAAGCCCACTCGCCACTCAGTCAAGCCATGGTACTTGCTCCAGCTGTGGTTGTAACAAAACCCCCTTAGAGTGATAACAGTAGCTGATAAGAGATCCTCAAAATCCTTGATCAACCTGCCAGATAACCCAAGTTCAGCAGCTTGAACTTGGGTTTTCTGGTAAATGAGAACTGTATGGCTCTTCAGATCTTCTTTGACCTGAGCAGGATATGACAAAAATTGGCAAAATGTGACAAAATCTTGTCTTTATGACAAAATCTTAACTTAGTGCTTGAACAAGATGTACAAATACACATGCATGTATAAACTCTCTCTGGGTTCTCTTCACTGTCTGCTCATGCTGTATCCCAGAGACTACAAACCACACAAGCATATTTGCATGCCCACTGTCGATCTGTGTGTAGTGGCAAGCTGTCCTGTTTAGAGGTTTATAGTGCAGTCACGGTAAATCTACATCGTGGATTGGAACTGTTCCTGTTGGACTTTTTAGCACCCGTACTAACATGGTTGTGCCAAAATCATTTGCGACCACTTTCGACCTGGTAGTTTTATCAGGGAAGTTGACAGGGATGTCAGTTTACAGCATGTCCCCATTTGGTTTAATTGTGTCATTCTACTGGAAAGTCACAGTAAGTTAACCCCCCCCCCAAAAAAAAATCTAATGGGAACATAGCTTATGTCGCCGGCCAGTAAGGGACTTTCTTACAACTGTACACGTTATAGTGTACAGAAGAAAGCCAGAATGGTGTGCTGCCACTTAGTAAGTTGTTTCTATGGTGTTGAGCATAAACAGAAATTTGATACAATTTAATTAGGTGAAGAGTATTGAGGTAACCTCACTATGATGCAAGCAGAGAGTCATTTTGGAATGTGTTGTAAGTGATGCTAAATTAAACCAAGTTTTCATCATGTTTGATGATAAAAACAGATGATTTATTTCAAGGTATGCTCATTTGAATTGCTTTTTCTTAATATACAATGATGATAAAGTAAATGGAAGTGGGAGAAATCTTTCAATTGAGAAGTGAGTTTAGTTATTCATTATTAAATTTAAACATACAGACAATATACTGAAACTTAAAATCACCAATTGTATGAGACTCATCCATTTGTTAAGTCAGAATTTCTGAAGTTAATGACAGTGCAGGGTTGTTACATGGGAACAAGCTAGGTTGATTTTAACCTCAGCTTGAGTAGAGATGATTTACTTAAATATTAAAAGCATGGCATCTCACGTATCTACCTCTTGTAAATGACAGTCTTTGAATAACTCTTTCTTGTTAGCAAATAACTGTCAAGGAAACTAGATAGGTTTGCCGTAGCAGCATGGATGTATCCTTTTTTGAGTATGTGGTGCTCTGAAAAGAACTGGTGGTACTGGGAACCTCGCGTACTCAAAAAAGAGATATATCCATGGTGCTACAGCAAACCTATCTAATTTATTTGGTAACCCTACCATGAAATGCTTCAAATCTCAAATAAATGCCAAGCTAGAGAATGTGCATATAATAGAGAAATGCACCTAACTGTGGACCCTTAGCAAAAGTAGAATGCAAGTGTCTTTCAAGGTCAAATTTACTCTGCTGGGGAAGAATCTATGTTAGTAATCTGTGGAGTTCATTTTCTTCTTTCTTCATGTCTCAGTTTGTCAGGATAGTTGTAATTTTAAGTGTCTATTAATTTTTTTCTAAGTAACAGGCAGGGAGGAAAGACTGATGTTTTTCTTTATTATCATTTTGCCTTTACTCATCGTGCCTTTACTCTGTTTGAACAACACTAAATAATGCCATTTCATTTTGTGTCCCTGCAGGTCAGTGTTGTATCGTTTTAACATTTGCAACTTCGATGTCATTCCAGTGGACCTTCCTGCAAAACTCAAGATCAGACAGGTCAGCATTTTTTAATCATGTGCCCATCACAGTAACCTGCCATCATAGACACTTGTGATTTTAACTTTCATTGCAGAAACTTCTTTCTATAACTGTGGTGTTAAAACTCATCAAGGTAGAGCCTTGTTTTTAGTTTTAATCATATCTGCGTGTTTAAAGAGTCATATTTTTGCAGATTATCAGTGGTATGATCCTGGTGTGATCCTAGTGTGTATGTGTAAAAGTAGGGCTTTCAAAATTGTTGCTGTGAATTGAAAGCTACGCACTGGACATGTAAGCAATGTTAGTGGGAAACAACATGAGGCTGAACTCAGGGCTTGGCAAATTGAGAGTCAGCCCTGGGGTTTGTTGGAAGCACCACAGTGCCTTGTCCGGTGCCTGGTGTTTTTGGGAAGGCCTTTGAAACAGGCCTCTGTATTAAGTAATTGCACATTATTCGTGATTACAGTATCCAAGCAGGTACTGAGCCATGCTTGAATCAGTGAGTGCTGATTGGTCTCTCTCAAATGACATCACTTCCTACAGATTACTAAGGGCATCTGCAGTTTGTTGGATTTAGTTTTCGTTACCCGCATCAGCTGGGCCATTTTTCAAAGACATTTGGATCAACACACATGTGTATAGAACATCTGCGCACTGTGTGAACACATCTGATGGCATTGAATATGCAGTTTTAATTTTCCTATGAAGATTGCACTCAGTGAGAAAGATTTATTATGCAATATGAATGGGAAAGAGCACTTCGCAAAAGAGCAAGAACATGCACAGCCATAAGTGCACAAAGGAAGAGTCTGTGCAGGGGGTGCAATTTGTCAGGAGTTTTCCTGATTTTCCGATTGTTTTCATCAGTATTTTGTAAACAGTCTCGTTAAAACCTGAAGTATTCTTAATTTACCATTAAGGTGTTTTTACGTTTAAATGTTGATATGGAACACAAGATTCTGTTACGAAAGTGCCTTTATGCATACACAAATCTATACCGTGGACCCTACACTGCCATGGGCCTCCTAAAAACTTTGATAATTATTTGTGGATATTTAATTTTCTTCCAATCTCTCTCCTGTCTCTGCTACACAAGCAAAGTCTGTATGTCCAGGTGCCAGTGCAGAGGGAAATTTTAGGGAATTTAAATTTACTTGAAGTAATGTCCAAGTTTTTGACATTGACCAATAACTGTTTCAATTTTCATATCAAAGGTCATTGTTAGCCAGACACATGTTGTTGTAGTGACATTTGACAGCGATGTATATTCTTGGGGCGAGGGAAGTAAAGGTCAACTCGGACATGGTGATCTTCTTTCAAGAACTTATCCTGAGGTGATACATTCATTGAGAGGGAAGTCCATAATCAGGTTTGTGGAAATTATTATGTTGATGAAAATGTAGTAACTGGATCCATAAGTGGGATGATTTTCCCCAGCTTGATTTCAACTGGAATTTAATACTTTTATAAAGTTCTTTTCTACTCGGAACAAGTAATTGGTATAATGGAGTATGTGGTAATAACTGTCATTTTTATAAGGTTGTTTTATGTTTTGGGGATGAAATTCGTCATTGCTGTTGTCATTTCAAGGGCCTGTTGTGGAGAATATTTCAGCGTGTTTGGAAGTGATAATGGCATTGTTATGACTTGTGGAGATGGTAGTAAAGGGTGTCTTGGCCATGGAGATTGGAGTAGTGCATCAAGACCTCGTCTCATAGAAGCTCTGCTAAGGTAAATGTACATTTCCATTTAATTTCTTTATTATCAGCGTATCCTTCCTAACATTAAATACAACAGAGTAAAACTTAGCTTCAATTGAAGCACTGCTCATTGCTCCCAGCAAAATTTTGCTACATGTACATGTACCTTTTTCTTTCCTGCAAATGTATGGTAGTATAGTGAAGGGGAGGCCGTGGGTTTATTTGACAAGTAGTGGCTTCAGAAGGCTATGCCGAAGTGGTCTTTACTGGCCAGCAATTCGGCGTGCCTCACCAGGCCCGTTGCCTTACCAGAGACTGGGGGTATTGGTTAAACCCAAAAGTGGAACTTTTGGCACTGTGAACACATATTTGTATACAAAGGCCTATCATGATGTGCTTTGGAACAAGTTGCATGTTTGTCGCAAACCGAAGGATGCATGTAAGACTCGTATACTTCAGTTTTCAATATTCACAACGTGTCGTGAATTGGCATGGTATGAATTTGCTTGTCACTGAGCGCCCTGAATCGGACACTGGGTGATGAGTGAATGGTATGAACATTAATCTCAGAATCTCAGAAAATCCCACAACAAATTTCAGAAGTTCTATACAATCGATAAATTCTAGTTAATCATTATTACTTCTACTCAATCACCGAACTAAAAAATGTAAAACAACAAAAAAATGGGGGGGTGCATTTAAGAGTTCATTTTGCACTTCTGAAAAAAAAAAAAACAATCGGAAAATCAGGCCCCAACAAAATTTCATCAGAAATTTGTAGCAGGTATATGAAATCGACATTTATGAATCAAAATATCTGAAGTTTGATTAAATTTCACCTTTTCTGAAATTGGAGGTACTACTTACTACTGTGTCTTTGCCCCAGTTGTGGCATTCTTGTTTATACTGTAATTATCTTATGTATGCAGTTGTCTCCTTATTCTCTAATTTTTGTTATTGATTCCTTACAGTTCACTGGATATTTCAGGTGATCTGGTGTTTCTGGTTGTTTTTGATTTCCTCTCTTTCCTGTGCATTAAATTCTAGATCTAGATGGAAATTTGAGAGTAAGTCTCTCTGCTACAATTAATTAGCACATTCATGAGCCAGGGGTCACTCAATTAGTAAGGACAGTGGTGCGTTGGTTTCGGTCTTTGCTAAAATAGGGAATAGGACAGTGCGTAGTTAATATTCCTTCTCTATGGCTGGTCTGGGGTATGACATTGCGATACCCTCATTTGCTGCAGTACTGTACTGTCGAGCACACGAATTCACCCTTCAAACATCGACCATTAAGATATCTGTGAACTTGCAGCGGTGGTACTGGTGTGGTATCTGGTGCATAACACTGTGCGCCCAAAGGCCCTTTGAGATCTAGTAATCTCTGGTCTAATTCCGCTCCACTACTGCCTTTGGGAGCGAAGTTGAGTCCGCCACCTGGCAGTGCTGAATTACTGATTCGTTCAAGATTCAAAATGGACAAAAAAATTAACTAGTCTACTGCCTGCAACCTACGCAAATATGTATTATTTCCCAGTCCATTTCTCCATTTGCTAAATTCTCGATCACCAGGCAGTGTGCCCTCACTCGCTCGAATCCTGCGGAAGTGGCCGACATGATCTTCCTCTTTCTTAGCACCATCACTTAAAGATGTAGTATTTTCCAACTCTGATATTAACAAGAGTTTTTCTCGGCTAAGCTTTGTTTTGATGTCATTTGTCAATCATCCCTTTATTCTTTCTACCCTGGTTATTCTTGTTTGCCCACTCCAGTGCCCACTCCACAAGGTAGAGTGAACCACAAAAGTTTTTCATACTGGTGAACAAACGTAGGGCAAAAACAATACACTGTTCAAGTCACCATTGTCAAATGCGAGGCATGCATAGCTCTGTAAATATGCAAATGCGCTACTCAATACAAAAAAGTCCCAGAGTGCACTACACAGTATTGTTGCCAGGTATTTTTATCAAGTGTATAAAGTGAAGGCCTAAAAGACAGGGCGCTCTACAACACAAGGCTTTATCTAATGATGTTAAATAGTACAAGTCTGTTCTTGAGAATTTTGAAGTCTGGAAGTGAATAAGGCATGTTACAGAAGTGGAGGGATCAGGTGACTAGAATAGTCGACTGGTCACATTACATTTACATTTTAAGGTAAAATTTCAAAATATTGCTTCTGTAATTCTTTGTTAAATGCATGTAAGATGGCCAGCAGTCAATTGTTGAAACCACATTAGTCCATAAATCATGTTTTCATAAAGTGTCTTCTTTTGTCTACTTTGAAGATAAATTTGAGGGTCATCCAGTATTTGCTTTTGCCTCTCATTTTACACATTCATTACAACCCAGTGTTGATGTGACAGCAATATCCAGTGGACCCCAGCATGTGTTTGCAGTTGGAGCTGATGGTGAAGTCTTTGCTTGGGGAGTTGGTAAAGATGGCAGACTTGGATTAGGTGATGAAGAAGACCAGTAAGTACTGATCTCCTTAGATGGTGCTCTTTTCAATCTGTTGGTCATCACTGCTGAAAGAGAATCAGACAATATGCCTTTTTCAAAAATCAATCAAGAAGTCCTTTCTTAATCGACCGATATGGCAGTGCCTCTTCTAGTGACCCTCCCGGATAGATTTGATGTGCAGTGTGTGCTTTAGACAGGTCTACAGCAAAAGAAATGTTTAAAAATGACAGGGAAATTTTAGCTGTAACTGTGAAAAAAAAAACAGTTTTTGCTCTCAGGCCCCAAGGAATAAAACATGTTTGATCACTTTGTTGACATCCCATTTTTGGATAGCTGAAAATGGAAGTTGTTTTCAGTGTACGTTCATGCTGTTATGTGAACTACTGTGCATAGTAGTTATGCATGGTCAAACCAAGCGGAACCAGAAACAGGTGAAAAATGCACACGAAAGCACATTTTAATGTAGATGGTTGGATTCCAGCAGTGGGCTGCAGGATGAAAATAACATTGTCTTGGATAACATGGTGCTCCACTTCGTTTGCAGTTTCTTAATTTCCCACTACACTTTCCACTGCAAATTTAAAAGTAACTTATTGCCAAAAATAACCAAATTAATGCACAGAGTTGTGCAAAACCCAATGTAGAACAAAGAAAATCTTCTGAAAAAGGGGCTGTGCAACCACGAATGCTGTGTGACAGAAACTAGATAGGAACTGTATTGTCGACATACTTCTCATGTCTCAGCATTATCATTTACAACCCCCATTGGTATTATGACTGTTACTATTACAGAAGATTATGTTATTTTCTAGGGTGTGTTTGGCAAAATTTAACATTTTGAATGTTTTGATATTTCATTTTTTTCTTCCAAAGTGGTTGGTGGATCAAGATAACTAATTGAAAATTGGAATTCATTTTCTTTAGAAACATAAAGAACAAATTGATCTTCTGACTTGCATTAACTACGCACCATGCCAGCATTCTGTTAGCTACTAGCACTGCATAGTACAGATTTCCGTTAAAGCACTCTGCATACCTAGATACCGAATTTAGTCTGAATGTTATCGAAGCAGTGTTAAAAATCAATGCAGTTATAACCACGTAAAACCAAAGTACACATGCGGCTGCACTGTAAAGCATAATCTGAAGTTTTAAGGCACTACCTGAGGGTCTATGGAGTCAAATAAAAAACATCATAATTAGTAATTTGTAAACTCTCCAAGCTTTCCTCCAAATGTGAAGCAAGTTGCAATGTACTTGTACCATTGTGTGGTGGAGGCAAAGCATGCATGTTTCACTGGTTCTCGCTGCAAGAAACAGCAAGAACGACGGGGAAAGCTGAGAACCAGTGACACCCCCCGCTACAGAATACATTCCTAACTTCAACAACCCCCAAACATGATATGATCAAGAACTTCAGAAATATTTCGGCAAGTTATGTATGCCACAAAAGTATATTTTCTCTTTATGCATAGGTATTTTTCAATTTTCTGTATTCTTTCTTATTTGAGGTCTCAGTGCACTTGCAGGGGTCCAGTGATCTTCTGTTGGATCGTCACTGGAGTGATGGCCAGTCCATGTCAGTCCCATGTCAGAACTATATTCCAGCTGATGCACTGCTGTGCAAGACAAATAATGTCACATACATTTTTGAACATTTTATCCGAGACTTTATATATGGGACTTGGAAGCACTGTATTAAAATGCCAAAGTTAAATTGTATAATCCATGGGAGAACAGCTGGATATGTGAAAAAGGAAAAACGTCATATCAGGGAGCACTATCATAATTAGCTGGTAATGAGAATTATTACATGTGGTTACAGCACACATTAAACATGGCTGCCACGGTGGTAAAATACCAAATGAAAAATCTTTTTTGTTAAGAAAATGGGGGTAGGTGGATCAAAAACAAACAAACAAAAATTGAAAAGTCCAAACTATTTTTTTATCTTTTTTTTCCTGCTGTTTTTGTTTGTTTTCTATTGTACAAACACAAATTATGGTCTCACTCTATGTTGAAGGATTCATCCTCATACCCAAGTACAATTTGAGTACTGGTAAGTACTTGGCCTGCACTCATTTGTCAACATAAAAAAAAAAACACACACACCTTTGTACTTGGACTTGTTCGCAAACTTGGCATGCTTTACTCGGTATTCAGTTCCTGTACTCATAAAAAATATCAAGTACTTCCCGATGATATGATAACATTTACATACACATGTATCCAATTTTGTTATATTTTCTTTTTTTTTCCTGAATGCCATTTGGACTTTATATATTTCTTTCCTGGCTTCTTTTTTTTCAATATTGCAGCTGTGAACCAAAAGAACTAAATATGGGGCAGGTTTATGTACGCGATGTGAAATGTGGTGTTGATGGTACTATGTTACTGACAGACATGGGCTGTTTATTGGCATGTGGCAGTAATGAGGACAACAAGCTGGCACTCAACAATAGACAAGGTTTTCTAATGGCAATGAAGAACATCTTTACAAAGGTAAGATATTTGTATCAATTGCCTTAAATATTTCACTGTATAGTGGCAGTTAGTGACAGAGTTATTTTTTTTTTTGTTTCACATGGGTCTTGGTGCTGGTGTTAGGTGTTAGTGTTGGTTTTGGACAAGCTGCAAATCAAATTTAACTCTTCGTAATATTGTACCATTTTCTGTCTATCCATATGGGCAACCCTTTGGGTCACCCTCCATCCATTTAAGGTTTTGCTTGTGGTTAGCATGGGTAATAATTTTGGTTCTTGTCAGCTCATTGGCTCAAAGTTGAAGCGTACTCAGCATATTACATTTATGGAGAATTTTTCCACCAAAATTGTGGAAATTTTTAAATGTATTGCACTTTTCCACGTATACATAAATTTAAATACATGTTTGCTGTTAAAATGTGCACATTGATCATGTTTTCCAATTCCACTTTTAAGCAACCACTCACTCCCTGCCCAACCCCAGGGTGGGATTTGCTTGCAACCCACAGAAATTGCCCCAGTCATTTAAAATCTGCAGTGGTGTGTCTCAGGATCTCAATAGGGCACCCTGCATTTGAATTTATAATTTGACACTGAGTTTAGCTTTGGGGAACTGCACATTTTTCCAAATATTGTTTCCATACATTTTCTAGTCCTTTTTTGTGTCTCCAATGTCCTACATGCACAGTTGGGGCAAAAAGTTTTCCTCAATTTGTCGCTGTTTGAAATAGTTTTGCCAACTGTTTCTTCATGAGGTAAGACAAATTGTATCTCCAGTTAATGTTCATAGTGAGTACTTCAATTGAAAATACTCTCAGACACTTATTATGGTTCAAAATATTAATATTTCTGAAAATCATTTTGTGAAAATTGAAATTTACCCCCTTCTTGTCGTTAAAAAACACTTCAGAAAGTGGTCCACTGCAACTATGAGTGTGACAAAAAATACAGAAAGTGGCAATAAATATCAGGGTTGGAGTATATAAATTTAGATCTTTTTGTAAACAAAAATATGAATCATATATATGTCTGGATTTTTTTTGTTTGCTGTGTACACCATGTACATTAGTAGAGACCCATTTTGTCTCTCCTCATGAATAGAAACGTTGGTGGGAATGAGTGAAGTTGTGAAATTTGAGGAAAACTTGTTTTGTTCTACCAGGTGTATGTAAACCTTTTACCCTAACTGTATGTTTAAAGGGCACACACAGGGGGAAACAGCAGAGGCCATACCAGTATAGGTATGTGTGACCCATTGGTATGATCAAAATGTGAGTTTTACAGGGGACGTCAGCAGAAGACATTTCTGTGACGTAATACTGACAGTTTAATTTTTCTATGACACATTTGGCTCTGTTGAACCTCTGTTGCAGACGGTGAAATTAATTAAATGTTGGACACATGACATTTATGACAGTTTATCAGCTGTCTACTGTCTATTTATTCTTGTTAAATTGACAAGAGTCTCTGTATGTTTTACCCCAAACAAGTCCAATGCAAACAAAACTTTGAATTAGCCAGTAACAATCACAAAAATAGGTCAGTGTATTTGTAACACAAGAGAGAAAATTATGAAGGTTCGTGTGTCTGTGTTTGAATGCAATGATTTACATCTAGCAGTAAGCCATGATTGATTAACTGTTCTAGTTTGGTTTGTTTGAAATTAAAATTGGAAAAGGATGCTTAACTAACAACAAAGTTTTGCAACATTCCACTGTTAATTTTTTTTTGTTGTTGGTGCATTTCATGTTCGTGATTTGCAAAGAAAACTGTTAATTATTTGCACAGACTGAAGTTGAGGGCAGAAAAGTTCCTACCAAAATCAAACCCCTAGCATCCTTCAGAGTTGTAGACATGGTTTTGGGTCCTCATCATAGTGCTGTTCTCGTAGAACCTGGAGTTTTGTATACATTCGGTAGAAATACTGATGGACAACTTGGCTTTGGTCATACAAAACCACGAGAAGCACCTATGCAAGTAAGAGAGATGTCCGAAAAACTAATATCGGTAAGTTGACGAACAGTGAAAGTGATTTGTGCCATTTATCACGACACTGTATTTTAGACAAAACTGTTTTGATAAGTTTGGATTTGCTCCTTTAGAAAACTTTCTTTTTCTCTTTTATCCATCTACAAAAGCGAGTAATATGTGACCCTCTCTGCAAAAAAAGGTATTAAGTCACGCAATGCCAAAACATGTAATGGCCTGTTCTATTGGAGAGGGCCAAATGTTTTTGCCTTTTATTGCTTCTATAATGTTTATATGTTTAGAAGTTATGACTAAGATGAATAAAGATGAAATATTGATCATTCAGTAGGAAATCCCATATAGCATTGTGTTTCCAAGCGCTACACTTCATGAGCTTTTTCTTGGAACATGCTTTCATTGATTAAAAAAATGTGGATACAAATATCTATATATCTCTAGAATGCAGTGCACTACAGGGGTCATTCATATATCAAATTGTAGCTTTTGATGTACAGAATCCAGCCAATAAAAAAATTATAACCTGAATCTGGCGACTTATTACCCTTTTTTCTAGAGCCGGTCACTTGTGAATGCCAAATATCATTCTCTGAATCTGTTTATTACATAAATTGACAAAGAATGTGCACTCTGTTTCAAACCTGATCATCACCCGTTCCTTCCACTGATACACTTATATGCCACTGATATATGTATAAACCGACTTTTACCTTTGGTTTGGAGCTCTAATTGTGGCATATTAGGGCTAAAATGAGGGTATAAAATGTTGGCGTACCAAGTAGCAAAATTAGAGCTTTATGATGGCTGTGAGAACAAGTTGAGTGAGCTGATCAGCTTGAGTGGTGCAGGAAAAGACAGTTATATGGCATAAGTATATTATTTTTGTTTTAAATTATGGTCTTGTTAACAGATTGTTTCACCTTATTAATGACAAAAAGCATTATTAATCAAGTCATGTTTATTGTGTTCATATCTAGTTACTTCCTAGGCTATGTCATATTTTTGCAGTGATCATTGGCTATGTATATAGAATACATGTGCTTATTTTCTTGTGACTTGTGTTCATAGAATAGAGACATTGGAAATTGTAGGCACTTCATACTTTAGCTGTGCTCATTATCAGGGTAGCCAGGATTCACAACACGGTGTGCCAAGAAACATTTGCCACAAAGCGTAAGCTTAATGTGTGGTTGCCTTTTTTATGGAACAGTGTAATATCCATTGCTTCTATTGTTGAAACATAACAATCCAAAAATTGACCCAATGCAATGTAAAGGTGCTTTTTTTGTAACTAAACCGTAATGTGCCATAAAAAAGTTACTTTCATTTTTCTTGTAAATGAGACTTGTTTTAGTTAAGTTGATCGCGATTTTATCTTTGACATCGGTAGTGAAAGCAGTAATATTTTAGTCCCAGACAAAATGATATTTGGATGGAGAGTATGAATGGAAAATAGTGATTATTTATTTAATTACATTTCTGTTCAGAAATCAGTGACTTGCAAACTGAAATACCATTAATTTTACGTATTGGATGACTAGAATGTATTACTTTTATTTTGTTTGTTTCCTAGACTGTTTCATGCGGAGATGCGTATACAGTAGCTGGAACATCAGACAATGCCCTTTACATGTGGGGAAGAGGGTGTCGAGCAACACCACAATCAAATGAAGAGACAGACAAGGAATTTAAAGCCTCTGACAAGGATCATTGTTCAGTGTCAAGTCTTGTACTGCCCAGTGATAAGTCAATTGAGGAATCTTCAGTAAATTATCGTAAGTATTTATTGTATGTATTTATAACCACCCATGTGTTGTTACATTTGAAGTACCCATGTTACCTTTGCAGTTCTGGGCTTGTATTTACAAAACAACTTAAGTCATAACAATTTAAGCACCCAACTTGAATACACGGCTGAGACAACTTTTGGAATTTAAGTGGCATTCATGAAACGTTTGCATTAAGTGCTCCACTTATTTTCTTAACATAAATCTAAGTGTGGTCGAACGTGCCTTAAGTAAGTGGAGCTCTTAGGTGTCATGGCGGCTCTTACTGGTGCTGCTTGTTTCAGACAAATTAATGAATGAGCGCTACGAAGGGAGAGAGTTTTTCGTGTTAGAGCAAACCCTTTGGATGACTTTACTGACGGTGAACTACCCACAAGGTAGAGACAGAATATTATTCATAACTGATCTTATTAGCGATGAAATTACCTCAGTGACCAAGCAAAGCTACACAATCTCACCAGAGTTGAAGGTTCTAACAGCGTTCCAGTTTTATGTTTGTAAAACATTTGGAGAGCTGTCGGAGATACTGTAAATATTTCACAAAGTTCTGTCTCTAGAAATGTATTTTAAGTTTCAACAAGTCTCGCTAGAAGGGTAAGGCAGTTCATCAAGTGGCGTACAGCTGATATTATTCCAGACATTCAAAGGGGATTCTTCAGAATTGAACAGGAAGAACAGTTTGTAAATCGCAAAAACTATCACTCGATAAACGTCCAAATTTGTAGCTGATGACAAATGCAACTTCACAGCAGTTAATGCAAAGTGGCCTGGCAGTACTCATGATTCCCGAGTGCTCAGAGAAAGCCTCGTTGGTGAACAGTTTGAAAATGGACAAGAAGGAGAAATGTACCTGATGGGTGATACGGGATACCAGTCCAAACGATGGCTCCTTACCCCATTCCTCCATCAAATTAAGCTGAAGCAAGATACAATACTGCAAACAGGTAAATTATTTTGCCTTGAATTTCCATACCAAAAGAACTCTCCAAATTTCTTCCTCTTCTTGCAAATTCACAATAGCAACTTATTTAAAGTTGTGGGGATTTATTATCTTCATTTCAGATCAACTCATAGTATTGTTGAGAGAATGATTGGGTAGTGGAAAAGAAGATTTCATTGCCTTCAGGGTGAAATCCGGCTGTCCCCAAGTCGAGTGTGCAGGTCGGTAGTTGCTTGTGCAGTGCTGCATAGCATTGCAAAAATGCGTGGACTCCCTGAGCCAGAAGATGAAGAGCCACCACAATATCCACAGCCGGATCAACCACCCCAGCAGCAAACTCCAAATATTGTTCGACAACACATTGGGCAAACTTACTTCCAGTGGGTTTACAAGACAAGTGTGGAGCCGGATTGTGTGCATGTGCACGTATGAATGATGTCCATGTGTACATGTACATGTGTACGGCATGCAGTGCATAAAAATTGTAATACATTTCTGTGCATAATTAAAACAATTTTGACAAGGTCATTGCATAACTAGGTTTTCAATACAGTGGTTGACAGTGCAGGGATGTTGGAAACATTATTTAAATAAATTTTAGTCTTTCAAGATTTTATTTCTCGTTGCAACTACAGTCAAACATGCTTAATACGAGCTCGCAGTGACTCTCCGAAAGAGACCTTGTCTTACGGTAAACCTCATGTTATAAGTGTTGACATTTACCCCATTCATAGAGTGCAAGCCTGGCGTCATGCACCAGCAAGCATTGTTACACACTATGGCAATGTACTGTAGGCCAACATGTACTGTGAGGTACAGTATACACAGAGGATTAGTATTCAACATACATGTTCCAGCCTTTAACTTGTTAATAAATTTTAAATCATATTAATAAATATGATTTGAATGAATAAAACAATTTCAAATATGCATATTTGTGTGACGCAACAGCAGAGAACAGTGGTTGTAAGTGGCCGGCCGCCACACACATGACGTGGCCTGGCGAAGCACTCCTTGGAAACTGGTACCCGACGTTGCACATAAGTAAAGTAAAGGTTTAATTTTAAAGTAAAGGTTTAATTAACTTGAGAACTAGTTCATATAAGGACTGGATGTAAGAAGGTATTGAAATACGGGAATATCTGTTGGTTTATAAAATTGTATTTTATAAAATGTTCTTTTAATTCTTTTAATTTATGGAACAGTAACTTTCATTTTCAATGTCATGAATCATCGTGCGAAAGGGTTGTGCTAGTTCATTTTGAAAGGTCAATGTGGGGCATCGGTTAATTGAAGGAAGGGAACTTTAGAAGGGTGTACAATATATTTCTAAAACCCATTTGAATTTCCTTTCCATTGACTGTGCAGGGTCTTAAGTGAGACTAATATTGGAAGATGTGATTTGTGATATTATCTGGGACGGGAACATGTTTTTATTTTTGTTAATTAGTTTAAAATAAGAATGTTATTAAAGGAAGGAAGAAACTTAAAAGAAATTTTAGTGGTTTTTGTTTGGTACTACTAGACAGGCAAGCATCATTATCTCTTTTTTGAAAATGTGGTGGCTCTGATAAGAGCTGTTTGGTTTATTTGTTGACTAGAGTCCAGGCTTCAGAAGAAATCGGTGCTCCTTTTCTGCGCAAGTTGCTTGTGCTGCTGTTCAGTCAAAAACTCCACCAAGTCAGTAGCGGCACTGCAGATATCGTCGTTCGTGGCTGGATGAGTTCATAGGAATTCTTGGAACTGGGATATTAGTGTGGCCCATTCCTGAACAGGGCGCTCACTTGGGGCCGATCCGCTACCGTGATTCTCCTCTTCCTCCTATTCCTCTCCTTCCTCTTGCTGCCCCTCTTTCTAACCTTTCAGGTCCCTGACGATTTCTTCTTCATTCGGCTTGTCTGTGCACTGCAGAACAGCATCAACCTCTGCATACTGATGAAACGTAACTGGCAAGACAATGTGCTGTGCCAAATGGGCCCAGATATTATTGGGCTGGGCTTGGTCTTGAGACTGGACTTGTGCTGAGTCTTGGGCTTGGTCTTGAGGCTGGACTTGGGCTGGGTCGTGGACTCGGGCTGGGTCTTGGACTTGGCCTTGGTCTCGAGGTGGACTTGGGCTGGGCCTTGGACTTGGTCTTGAAGCTCGGCTTGGGTTTGTTCTTAGACTTGGTCTTGAGGCTGGGTTTGGGTTTGTTCTTGGGCTTGATGTTGAGGCTTGAAATCCTGCCTTGTTGAAGCAGTTGGCAATGCATTCTTCCTTGACTTTTTGCCAAGCCAGGTCAACCATGTCAATGGCATCCTTGGCGTTCACCTCTGCAGGAGTCACCCCCGTGTTGTAGCGTTCTAGAAGTCGCTGGATGAGTGCCCGTCTGTAGTGAACCTTCATGTCCAGAAACTGGATGGTAACGGAGCACAGGTTGGGAACAGGGGGATGAGCCATACAATTGTCCACGAAAAGTAAGACCTTTTGCTGTTGTTGGGTGAATTCCTTGTCCAGGCGATGGACCCATTGGATGAAGAAGTCACTCACCATCCAGGCCATGCGGTTTGCACAGTACGTTACCAGAAGATATGTTGAAACACTGGGGCTTGAGGAATTGTCCGATGACAAGGGGCTTCAGCTTTTCTGTGCCGTCCATGTTGGCGCACAGTAGAACGGTGATTGACTCCTTGCTTTGCTTGGTGCCATGGCACTGCTGTCCTTTAAATGCCATCGTCTTGTCTGGTGGTAGCCAGTAAAAGAGCCCAGTCTCATCTGCAATGAAAATGTTGTGTGGCTCGAAGTTACAGATGATGCCTGGGAGAGTGTCTTGAAGCCAGTCTGTAACCATGACTTGGTCTACGCTCTTACTCTCGCTGCAGATCTGCTTGAAGGTGACGTTATATCACTCCTTAAATCGACCAATCCATCTAGTGTTGGCAGAGAAGTTGTCACAACCCATCATATTTGCCAGTTGCTCTGCCTTTTCTGGGAGAAGGGGGTCATTGACAGGTAGGCTTTTTGCACTGTTTCCCCAAAAACAGCGGAGGACAGCCTCTTCCATGTCTTTGTGGGCTGCAGTGCGGCATCTCTTTCATGAGGGCTGAAACTTGGAAGTTGCAAACTTTTGTAAGATGTCTGCCTTGTTCCTGAGGATGGTCAAAAGCGTACTTGACACTAGCTCATACTGGCATCCAACGTCCGCCCTTTTGCAGCCAGCTTCAACAGCCTTGATGATTTCAATCTTTGTCCCCAAAAACAGCCCCTTGAGCTTGATCTTCATGGAAGCCACAGCTCATTTTCTTGAAGGCAGGTTATTTCAACGGATTTTCTTGAAGGCAAATATGATGATTGTCATCTCGGTATGTACGATAGACGTATGAGTCCATTTGTGGAAATTGCACCTGCTTATATTCCCTCCAAAGAAGCTACAGTGAACTCGGCAGGATCTACGTGCATTTGCTTTCCTCGGGGCCTATTGTCAGGGCTGCGCTACACGCAACTCACGTCACGAGATAGCAATCCACCCTTGCATCGACCGCAAGCTCCTATCAGGAACTGTACCGCACCACCAATTAGCCCCTCAACCTACCAAGCCCCTCAACGACACACGCACCACTCGGGACTTAGGCACAGTCACACTAGGCTAGGGGACGTTAACCCTTGCACAGGATTTTCGACCCTTACCTCAGGATCAGCCCTTGATCAGGACGACTAAACCTTGACTGTACGCGCCTTTTATAGTCTTCGCGCTGCTGCGACCACCCCCGCGCACGCCCTCACGTGACCAGGCAGTGACTTCTGCTGCCCTATTGCACAACGCACAAGGCGGAGCCCATGCGCCGCGCTTGCTTAACACACAGCTATGTGCACCAAACATCTGCCTCTGTTACTGGGCAGAGCGCCATCTGTAACTTTGCACTGCTCCTAGTGACTAGCCCCCTCTGTCACGTCACACTAACTAACTAAGAGCTAGCTATCAAGAATTGTTTTTAACTGGATTAATTTTTATCCTTTGTGCCAAAATTTTTGTATGTTGGGCTTATAGTAAGCTTGTTTACCATTCGGCTGGTGTTGCCACTACAGACTGGTTCTCTGACGTCAAAGTAGGTTGAGCATCCACATCTATCTGCTCAAAACTACCTATGCCAACAAAGGGTGGAGAAGTCTTTCCAAGAATTGACATCAATCTCTGGTTTAGTGGAGCCATATCAGGTGGTGCTGGACCCCCACTCGGAGAATTTAACATAGGGAGAAAATCACACTTAAACCCCAACGCACACACCGCTTTTTGTAAACGCAATTCAACATTTCTCTTGTTATTAGTCACGGGTATCTTATCATACTTCTTTGAAAAACCTCGTATTGTGTTTTTAAAGGAATGTAATTTCAATGTAAAATGTTAGGCCTAATGTTCAACGTCACCAATTTGAAGATGTATTTTTTTTTTTTTGCATTGGGGAGATGTTAATTATATATAACAGGTTTTGCCCTTACCCAACGTATATTAATAAGCACTGTATGCTCAGTGCTTGTCCGAGAACTTGCAAAAAAACCCTCATAAGCTCACTCGGGTGGGACTTGAGCCCACGATCTCCTGCTTACTAGTGCAGATGTCTTAACCACTCGACCACCGAGCTTGCCGGGGTCGGCTGGCCAGTCGGAGTCAGATGAAGCAGCAGGTACCGCGAACTATTTTCAAGATGTAATTTTTTTTTTTTGCATATGTAAGCTTATGAGTTTTTTCCCAAGCTCTCAGACAAGCACTGAGCATACAGTGCTTATTGATATATGTTGGGTAAGGGCAAATCCTGTTATATATAGTCACCAATTTGATTCTGTTAAAAAAATCAAAACGAATGATTAGACTTACTTCGTGAGGACAGATTATAAGGATCAAGTTTTTTTTTTTTCATCAGATGCACTTCTCATACGTCTTGGTATAGTTTAAGCTATAAGGAATACTTTTTGTTGAGGTCTAAACCACTTTCTTTCATTCTGTACAAAAACTGTAGGACCTATACAAATAAAGTGGTTAAAGACCATTCTAAAAGTCAGTACTTGTTTTCAGTGACTCCTTTCTTTACGTGGATACTTTCTTCCTCATGTTGCTATTCATGTTCTCCCATTTCTTTTGAATTTTGCTGACATCCCGTCAGACAGAAGGAAACTGTGCATTCAGCACATCGGTAAATTCTTGCCAGGCATCATGTTTGGCAGCTGCTATTATTTTCGCAGAAAGTTTGGGCTGCAGCACTTCTTGCCATTTTTCCCATTCAGCAAGAATGTTAACTGATCATTCTCAGAAAAGTTAGGCTTTCTTGACTGCTAACCATCTTTGGTGGCCATTGTTATTAATTATTAAACTGAGATGAAGCTATTCAATTATCAATTATATATTTTTCACAATAAAAGTGTTGTGATCAAGTTAATCCAGTTGAATCCGTGCACGTCATTGCAATAGCGATTTCAAATTGTCATTTATTTAATGGGATTTCAATGCATCTTGCATCCAAATGCCTTCGTGGGGAAGGATCGCGTATCAAACACGTGTTTAATTTATTTTTGGTTGTAATTTGTAGATGCAATAGGCTTAAAATGCTGGGCAAAAAATGGGAAAAATCAGCTTTGTAGCCTGTCTGCATCTGTCTGGAATCTTAATTTATTGATTGACCATGGATACTTAACAACCATTGTTGATGAGTGATTTATGTGCATGAGCAACAGGTCAGCTTTATGAGACATTTACTGATGAAACTTAAGTGTGCAGTTAAGATAAGTAGGGTGCTTACTTTTTTTTTCGTGATCTCAAGTTGAGTGAGCCACATAAGTTAGCAGGGTGCTTAGATTTTATACAACTTAATTTTTTTTTTAAGTTTATGTTTTGTGAATACAGGCCCTGGCATTAATGTTCGTGTCAAGCAATACAGCTACATCACTTAGAGGTTCTTGTGATAGATACAGGGGTTCCTCAATCTTACCACCCTTTACCGTTATAAAAGCTTCAATCCAAATACTTGTTATCATTGCAAAGTGTATTCTTGGTATGTATTTTTGGTGAGTACATGTACCTGGTTGATACTTCATGATGAATCCATTATTATTACTGTACCTAAAGCTATGCAAAGATAACTAAAGTTAGTATGTTTTGTTGCCATGGTAGAACCAAGTTTCTTCACACCACCAGCAGAAATCTTTGTAACATTTTTAAAAGGTAACATAGAAGCTTTATATCACATTGTAGAAATGGCATCCATCTCAGGCAGCCTTCTTAACAAAAAGGTTTAATTAAACATGTGGAAGTACTCATATTAATTGAAATCAAGAATAGGAATCAACAGATAAGGCAGTTTTTCAGAAAAAAAGTTGGATTCTTCAAGTAATTAAGCCATGTTCCCCTTGGACTCTTAATGGTAAAATAACTGCAGTGGAGGCCTCGCTAAACCGTGCAGCTGTCCTCACAAAAAGACCCGTGAAAATTGGGTTCATTTCTAGTTTTTCTTTCATTATTCCAAAATGCATCAAACATCCAAATTCTGCAATGTTCATTGATAAACTCTGTCATTTTTGAGTCAAATGTTACACTGTCCACTTTTGTTGGTGTAATGTTGCGTGTAAATTCACAGATTGTGCTCTCTTTCTGCCCAACTTTCCAAAATCACCCCATCGTAACTCAAGCTAGTGGTATCCTTTGAGTTGAGAAAGGGTAGTTTCTTTGATTCCTTGGCTAACTCACACTTTAAAAATCATTTTGATCAGCCACTTCTTCACCCTGTCTAAATGAATATCAGTTGTGTAACAGTTGCCTAGCACTCAAGCAGTGGTGGCTGACTTGCTAATGTGCAAAGATATATGTTGAATATTGACAGTGTACAACATTAGTTTGATGTAACAACAATCCAGATGGGAATGCAGAGGATTGTTTACAGGTAGGCATGGTAAGTTTCTGTGAATTAGCCACTTCATGCTGGGGCATTTTTCAATGTTGATGATGCTGGGCCGGCATAATTATCATTTTTTCCATTTTCAAAATTCTTCAAAAATTTATCATTTCATTTAACGGACGTTTATAGCCGCATGAAGTAATCTTTAGGCACTACTCAAAGTTGACAGGTGACCTTCATTGATGCCTGAGTATTTCAGCCAGGCCTGCAGCCTTGTAAAAAGAGCTCAGATTGTGTGTTGTTATGCAACTTTCTTTTGTTCACAAACCTGGCTCAGTGCACTGCTGACCTCTTTTCAATAGGGGCCAGATTAGCGTGCAGCGGTGTTGTGTGGCTTATCGCTGCGGTGGTGGAACGCTTTTGTCCCTGGTGGTAATCCGCTCGCTATAAATGCCCCAAACTCCGGTATATGGTTTCAAAACAAGGCTGGATTATCACCACTTTTGAGAGTGAAAAATGTTGCTAATGCCCAGCAGCCTGGTCTTTTGTTCAGAGTACGTTTTTTTGTTATTGGGCCCTGTTTCCTTTGTCCAAGTTTGGAGACCCCAGCCATTCATATAAAGCATACGTCTCCAATTCCAGAGTCCCCGGCAGGAAGTGGTTAAGACATCAAGGACAATAACTGTACAAAGACACAGTATTCACTCTCTGACAACTTAGTTGCATACTGCACTTTATGGAGAACACTTAGGTGGTCTTAAGATTTGACTCCGACTCTGATCTGTGTAATATGCATCTTGCAGAAGTTCCTAGAAGTGCTCCCCCTTGTGCCAGGCAAGCAGACAGTGACAGCATTTTTGCATTTGATGATCAGTTACTCCTGCAGCAATCTTCGGAAGAAGCACATTTATCAGGTAATGTTTATAAGAAAAGGAAAATAAATTCCACTGTAATCTGCCTTAATACATAACTATACATACAAAGTCTACCCCAAAAGATGAGGTTAAAAGCCAAGTAAGTACATTCATTTGCACCAGTGTAGAGGTCTTTTTTCACTCCTCTGATTGCATCACCTTCAATATTCGATATATCATCCTCAATATCGTAACTTCATTCAAACTGGAAGTCTTGTTATGGTTTTGTGATGGCCTTGTTGGACCATGTGATGGTCTTAAGAGGTCTTTACTAATACTGGTTTGGATTAGTCATCATTTTGACAACTCTTTTGGGGTTTGAGCTAGGAGGATCTGGTTTAAGAGTGCTAGTGGTACCTGATATTGCAGATACAGATAATAACTCTTGGCAGTATTGGAAGTAAATGATAACCTCATGGTGCTGACAGTGAATGATTGCTTGGCAGTTCTAGGTGAAGGCTTTGCAGTACAGGAAGTAAAGATGACTTGGCAGTTGTTAATAAAGGATTAACAGTAATGGATGGTAGCTTGGTAGTGTTGGAAGTGGACGATGGCTTGGCACTACTGGATGGTGGCATGGCCGTAGTGGGAACGGACAATGTCTTGGCTGTAGTTGATGTCTTATAAGAGTCAGAAATCAACTTATGAGTTGTCTTTTGTTTCTCCATCCTAGTAGTTGCAGCACCTTTCCATTTGAAGCTGTCTTTTGCCTATTGTTGACTTCCAAGCGCCAACTGGCTCCAAGAAATGGAAACAGTGCAATTCATTGTTTGGGAAATTGGGTGGTGGACTATCCTAATGACAGGCACGGGGTAGAGACATGTTTGAGTATTTTTTCTGTTTAGGAGTGTCCACCTATTCTCAACATTCACTGAACTCTTGTTTTCTTTTGCTACACTTCTTGAGGTGGTAATAGATATCAGTAATTCGGCAACCCTGGACAGAGACATGATCAGCTACTTTAGTAGCAGTAAGATGCATCAAATGACGAGCACATTCTGTGAAAAACAGAAATAGCACAGTCTAAGCATGTGCATGCCAAACATTGACTGATATATAGAATAATGCTATACACCCTTCTTGAAGTTCAACACTAGCTGTCCCGCTGCAACGGTGTTCACTTGTCTGTTACAGGAAACACACATTTCAGGTCCAACTTTCGTGACTGTAGTAATGCCGTATTTGTTTAGGGTTTCATAACTGTAACATGACCCAACTGCATGTCATGTTGATGACATTAAATTGATACTGTGCAAGGGCCTGAACCCCAAACTGGCAAAAGAAACTACCAGATAAGTTCAGCCGAATTTGCATGTATGCATTTATTGCCCTCACCGGGCAAATAATGCTTATTAGACAACCTGTGGATGACCCAACTGGTTTGTTTTCATGTGTCTGAGGGAAATTAGAACCGATACAGCAGTTTGACCAAGATTCTGAAGTTTCTCATCAGAAGAAAGGAAAAGCGATTTTTGTACGTGGTTTTTGGAAATCGCGGCAAATTCATCTATGCACAAAAACCCCCAAAAGGCACTTAACATAACCGCACGGAACAGGACGACTTCNTTGCAATTGTTACAAACATGAAGAAGTGCTCACATAATCCAGGCCAAGACAGGGAGGTGTCATGGGCCAGCGCTTGTCACTACTTGCCTTATCTCTACGGCAACCCGTCAATAATTTCTTAACTAGGAAATCATGGGTGGGCTCCAGCCTAGAATCTTGTGATAATAACCCACACCTGCTACATATGTGTACATGGCAACTGTTGATGCTGCTAAACCTTGCAAAGACAACCATGCAATGAATTTACCGACATCATCAGGGGATGCAGGACAATCGTCTTCAAACTGCATTGTTTGAATAAGGAAAGTGCCCACCAACCAATTTGGTATGTTTTGTGTTTGAAGTTGAAGCTGCCATCAATAGGCGGTTAATCTCACCTAACAGGTCTGTTGGATGTCTGGGACTGGGGTCATATTGTCCTCAGCCTGAGGGGCGAGGGCAGAGAAACGGGCCACCTGAAAACGGGAAGGGAAATTGGCTATGTCTTTTTGAATTCCTGGAATGTGAACGGCCTAAAACGTGATATCGCAGGCACTTGCAAACAAATGGGTGCACATACTGCATGATCATATCACAATGTGAGGATTGCTTGTTAATGACGTGAACCACAGCCTCATTATCCGTCTGAAAACGCACCTTACAATTAGCTAACTGAGGAGCTAAAGAATACATGGCAATCACCAAAGGATAGAATTTGCTGTGTGATATAGATGCCAAAAGTGTGACCAGCTCGGGAGTCCACCTCCCTTGAAACCATTGACCATTAAAGTAACCACCAAAGCCAATGCTTGCAGCAGCATCAGTAAATAATCCTGATGCGTCATTGTCAAGTCAGCCCTGATCACGGAAAGGCGAAACCCCATTGACATGATCAAGAAAGTCCAACCACATTAAAAGGTCCATTTTGTGCCAGTTGTTATGCAAGTTTCATGATGTGGCTTTGCTAGCCCTTGTGATAAACTAATTAAATGCCTGGTGTATGCCTGGCCTGCGGTGACAGTGCGACATACAAAGTTCAGTGAGACTACTAAGGATTGGATTTCCCTCAGCGACAACCTCCTCAGTCCCATACATGACTGAATTTTTTTCCCAGAGTGCCAGTACTTTGCCGCTTGGCACTCGAATCTTGCACTTAACTATATCAAAGTCCAAACCCAAACAAGTAATAGCTCGACATGGGCCCTTTGTCTTTTCTTCCGCAAGTGGAACTTGTAGTTGCGCACAAACTTCTTGAAATGTACTTAAAAGTAACTCACATCGTTCCGTGGTTGCGCCAATGAACAAAAACTCGATGTAATATGTAATAGTGTCTGATCCGGAAACCTGCTTCTCATGAAATTCTAAAAAACGGACTTAAGGTCTCAAACAGTGCACATGGCACTGAACATCCCATGGGTAGGCATTGTCATAGTAAAACTTATTCTGAAACTGAAAACCCAAAAATCGTAATCCGAAGGGGAAACGGGAAGCAGCCTTGACGTCAGTTTTTGCTAACCATACATTTGGGTCAACAGACATGCTAATTAAACGGCTGAATCAAAAAATGCATAGTGTACTTGCGCTCATCTTTATCGATACAGTCATTCACGGAACTCCCCATGGGTTATGACAAATGGTGGATCAGTCAAATTGAGCTAGGTTGTTATTTAGGTTGGTAAACATTGTAGGTTGATAGGGAAAGGTGGATGAATGAAAGGTCCCGCGATTCTAGCAGGATCAATTTCATTTGGCAACTTTTGAAGAACAACCCAGGGCCTATCTGTAGCATATTTAAGACATTTAGAATCCTTCCTTAGCCCAGGTCCCGTAAAACCAAGGGAAAAGCCCCATGAAAAACCTTGTTTACATGAATCAGCCACCGACTAATGCAGATACTGTGCCAACCACTGCCGAAGAACAACCACCTTAATGGGCGTTGGAAGAACAAAAAGTTGCTTGGAGGTTCTGGTTATGTTAGGAGTCGGCTGTGGATTGCCAGTGTGCATGCTAGCGCTCATCCATGGTCCCACATTGCTGGTTGTTGCCAGCCAGAATGCCTGCTACACACGCAATGCTGCAGACAGAGTCTTTGTGTAGCGCATGTATGTAGCACTAACAGGAGTGATCGAACGCTTTGCGGTGGTGCCTCCTTGCATGGGGGGCTGCACTTCCGTTCTACACGACCACGCACCGTGTCCCGGCAGGGATTCTACCGACAACCCAAAGCAGAATTAAACGCAAAGCAGATGTGCTTAGTCCAGTGGTTTCGAGCAACCACGACAGCTGTATTCGCAGAAGTATTAACAGCGGGTAGCACGCTGCCAGCCGTGGAGACAGTAAGCCACAGTTCCATGTCCATGGTAGTCCATGAACGGGACGGGACCGCTTCCATACGCAGGCGGAATCCCTCATTATAATTGTGCCAGCCTAGGCCAGGGAATTGCACGGCTGCCATACGAACTATTTCTGCATATTTTAGCAATTCCAGGAAGCGGCTGGGAAGTCACATTGAGTATATGGCCATGAAAATGTGAATAGCACCAGACCATTTGTCTATCGAAACTAGCTTGCGAGGGGTGTGCAGTAGCCAGCCGCAAAACCACTGCTCAACTGCCATGGTCAATTTTGAGCTGCTGTTGGCAGAAGTCAAAACAATAGTGGCATTGTCAAGATAAAAGGATGCTAAGTCTACATACTTCTCCTTCCAAATGTTTTCTTGAATGGATTGGAATACATGTGCATCGATGGGGGCATCGTGCCCCATGGCATGCCATGGCCCCACGGAATGCTTACTCATGGCTGAATGGGCCAATAACAGCAAAAAGCTTATCGGCTGCACCGGCTTGATTCAGACCTAAAACTAAATTACTTTTACTGAGTGAGGAAGCGTGCATTGGGTGCACCAAGGCACTAGAATTGATGGTTGACAAAACCGGGCCAACGACCAAACTATCACCAGTACATGTATTAGCATTATAGTTATTGTTAACTACAGAGTCTGGGGGACATGGTGGATTTGGTTGCAGTCTGATATTTGAGCTGGACTCACTGCCACTACCTCTACCAGCTCTGTTACTGGTGTTTGGTCCCCTATTGTTCAAATAATCTGGTGCTGGTGTCTCCAGTACGAACTGGGTTACGGGCGTTGGACGTGCCATCATCCCTGGAATCCCTGAAGACCAACAATGCCTGCTGTGTAGTGGTGGATGACGCGTAGTTGCTCGGTGTATTGCTCTTGACATCTACATTGACTTCCTTATTGGCTGCAGATGATGCAACAGACCTCATTGCTCGGACGTCCCAGTCTGCTGCAACATTCTGCAACGTAAGGCAGAGATGACTGCTGCCAAAATTTATGCTGCCACCTCTGGCATGGCATCTTGGAAGGTAAAAACTGCTTTAGCCAGCTGGCAAGCAGAAAAGTGATTCCTCTGACGTAAGCTGCTCAACAGAATAACTGTTCTTTCAAAGCCAAAATGCACAAGCAGCAGTTGGATGAAACAATAAATAAAACTTGCTGCAGCACTGCCCTAAATATCCCTGTATATCAATTGCTTGGTGACAACTGCTCTCAACATGGCCTTTAAAATTCACTCTCTTTCAGAGAAATTTTTATTTCCATGTAGCAGCAATAAATAGCTACACCATAATGATTTTCACGACAACAGCAGCATGCAATATTGAGTTTTGTGTAACAATTTCAGTTTTCACGCATATATTTGTGATATGTATTCTTTTCGTCTTGAATTCGTGCCGGGGGGGGGTCAGGTGTCCTTAGCACAGTGAAAACTGTTTGTAAACAGGTCTTTGCCTCTATATTGACAACAGGCTGCTTGCATACTGGAACCCGGCATGCATACCGTGTGCCTGCTGTTGAGAATAATAAATTTTCTCTTGGAAGTGATAAAATGAAGTAAATTTGGAATTGAAAATGCTGCTTGAGTTTTTACAATGATTCTACCAAAATCGGCATAGTTCGCGGGTGTGGAACTGTAAACAATGTTTTGGTAACTACTTATGAGTGATTAACTGTGAATCAATCGGCCTGATTTGTTTGTCAGGGCAGAAATCTTTTTTTTTTGTGGATCCTATAGAAACTAATTTTGTTTACAGACCAGTTGACAATTAAAGTATAATCTTCTTCAGTCCTTCAGTTGTGATTGCAACTTCTGTTTTATGCAAACAACCTGAAAACAAAAGAACTCTCCTACAGTATGTCAATTAAATAGTATTGTTGCGGAAATTAGCTCATCTGTGAGAATCTTTCAGTAACTCTGTAAGAATCTTCATATATAATCTCATTTTGCAAGAGCATGTCATGTTGACCACTTGAGCTTTTATCTGGTCACACAAACTACAGAAAGTGATTTTAACAAGTTTCTTCTTTGTTCCCCCTGTTTGGGTAACCTCTACACGTTGTAAAAAGCAAATCAAATGCAAAAATAAATAGGACACACATTCAAGTCAAATTTATACATTCTCTTCCCTCTTTTTTTTTTTTTTTTTAGAAGATCTATATAGTTCCTTGACCTTAGCTGTTCTTGTAGGCAGCTAAATAATACTGCACACTTCCGAATACGAACACTCTGCTTGTTTACTGATTCAGATTTGGTAAAGACATTGAATCAGTCATTGTAGTAATAACAGGTTATGTATACCATTTGGAGAAAATCTAAAACAGGAATGCTCAATGATTATGAAATAGCACACTTGAAAGTAGATTAATGGTATCGGTCATGCTTTCACTTTGATGTGTGTGCCTAGAATGCTATTATATTCAGAAAACAGAAATTTTTATATTATTTTGGATCAGTAGTTAAAATATGTGGTAGAAAAATTACCTGCTTAAAATACTATATCATTAGCAGGCTTTTCAGAGTGATTGACCATTTGTGTGCACTTGGTAAATGGCCTGCAGTTTGTTTGTGCAAAACAAATTGAGAATGGTGCACTTCGACTACATGTGTATTATTTTATGGTTGTTCTCACACTAACAAATGTAAAACATAAAACGTAATGTTATGGCTATAATTTACAACCGCAAACCTGTTCGAATTCATAAAATGAGAGCGAAATGAAATGGTATGTATAAGCTGCACTTAGGGCTAAGCCAGTTAAGTCAATTTAAGTTTATCATTTCAAGTTGAGGCATATTGGCCAAATTGTCAAAAATAGCTGAATGCCATAATAACCTCCTCATGAAGGGCATTCGTATAATATATGTACTGGTACAATACTTCCCACTACAACCTCACCAACAATTTGTGCTAGGCTTTATACAGAATTCAAAACAAACAGACGGGCCACTTCACAGACATCCTGAACGTTGTATATGTGAAAATTTATTGGAGATGGGCAATAGAAACACATTTACCATCAGAAGTGTACACGTAGGGAACAAACAACATCTTAATCCATCAGCCACCCCATGAATATAAGACCAAGGCTATACGCTATGCTACTGCTGTGTTGAACTCAAATAATTCAATTTTGTGAAATTCTGCACGGCAATAGCATGGTGTTTAGCACAATTTGGCTTGACAAATTGAACTGGGGATGGCAAGCCCTTTAGCTCGACAGGGTATACCACGCTATCAATGTTCCAAATGGCAGTGGCACAACACTGCTCTATTTAAGTTCGGCATAAAGTGCAACCAGTGCGCTGTTGCTGTGCTATTGCTGCTCTTACTCATTATAATGAAGTTAGACATGGCAGTAGCACGGTATCTACTCTTGGCCTAAATGATCTTATGTTGTTTTCACAGCCTTCTGGCACACTTGTTGAAAGATAAGATAGTCATGATAATACTTTTGTTTTACACAGGTATTCAACAACGAAAAAACATCGCTAGTGCAAGTAGTGCAGTCAGTGTTGAAAGTCAAGGCACTCAAGAGAAAAGGCAGTTGCTCTTACAACCTCAGCCAATTTTTTTGTAAGTTATTGAAATAAAGCTACTTGCACATCTTCTTTGAAAATGCACTGAAAGCAATGTGTCCTTTATCAAGGAAAGTATTATCCACTTTTCAATTCGTTCATAATGTGATTGTGAGGCTGCCTACATGCCATACATTGTGCACACCCTATTCTTAAATCATGGTAGGCATGGTACCAACAGAGAGCTACTAATTTCCTGATAAACATAGTCATGATCTTTTAACCTCAAAAAGAAAATCACAGATCACTTTGTTGAAAGGAATAAGTAAATGATGTGCAATGTAAAAACGCCCTTGAGAAAATATTTTCAAGAGTGGATCTCACTGTAGTTTGATTCTTTACTATTTTTATACCTGACTTGAATTTTGAAGAACATTGAAAAGGTCAAATCTGTAATTAAGCAGAAGAGGAATGATTTATCGGTCAAATAGTTTTGTGCAATTTGACAGTGTTAAATGGATGTTCAGATTATCAATACTCAAAACCTATTTTTACCATGGGTGGTTTCAGTTGTGTTGATCAATAACACAGCATCTTGGCACAATAGTATTAAACGTAGCTTGAGAAAATTGGTAGGAAAATTGTCATGGTAGTTTGTTTTTCCTTATTGGATGAAGAATGAGTTGGGAAAACAATGATATCATGGTTTATAATGTAAACAATTGGGAAAGAAAATATGAAATGATGCTTGTGATACAAGTGCTTCTACTAGCTTCCCCAATATGTTGAAAGATTATTAAAATTGTTTCCAGGCTTGGAACTGACACCAATGATGCAAGTCAATCTTACCAGATGACATTAAGTAATGTACTTTGTCAAGGAGAACACATGCTTGTCCATGTCGAGACAACGTGCCCTCCACCACGAAGGAGGAGTAGGAGAAAAAGAAAGACCATTCCCCGAAAGTTGTAAGTGTATTTGATCAATAAATTTGTGTGTTTCTTCTAATTTGTCATTTGTTGCCTTTACAAATGATTTCATTTTTGTGTGCTCCATCAGTGGTTTTCATGTACATGTCTATTAGCCCTAAGAGTCCCAAATTCTCCTGTTGGAGGATTGAGGACTGTTAGTGTTAGTCTGTGTGTTGCATGGTTAAAAGATAAACCATAAAATGTTAAATGAACTATTGTTACAAAGGTTGAATTTTAACATTTTGAGTAACATGTAAAAAGCACTTCAAACAGAAAAATTTTTCCCCAGCTGCTCAATTCCCAAAATGGTGATCCACATCTCACAAAGTAGATTCAAAGCAATTGGATTTGGAATAAACCACTCTCATTTTGCGTACAATTTGCATGGATGGCCAAGTTTGCAGAAAAATCACTCTATGATTTTTTTTATTTTACTTTAAATTCCTTCAAATGTGCATTTGTCCCATTAATTTTAAAGAGGATTAAATTTTTATTTAGTATTTCAGTAGTAGGTGTATTATTATCTCATGGTCGGATAGCTATGTGGAATTTTTAAGATTTTGTGAACAATTCCTGTACTTTTGTACTGACGGCCAGCCATAGTTTTAACACCTACTTGTTTTTATTTCATTACACTTTTCCACTGGATATTAAACCAAAAATTAAATACATTAAATACATTAGAAACATGAGCATGTACATAAAACAACTGACACGGCACAACAAGCAGACTACAAATACACACACCAAAAAATGCCTACAAAGCCAGTGAATGGCAAGATAGAACAAGTGACCAGCACCTCTACAAAGCCATCCTACCACATGACGACCCCCCCCACAAAAAAGCAAATATGAAATGGAAAAGACAGGTAGAAAATAAACAAAGAAAATAAGTGGGACTTTATTAATATCTGCAGCCTGCATCACGGTCTTGTAGGAAAAACAAGACTGTGATGTAAAAAGAGCATACTTTGTTGTGGTTTCATTGTTTTGAACAATGGTAGTGTTACGCTCCCACAAACTGTCCCCCTATATGCATGTAGATTATAGTGTACACGTTACTACACACACCATCTACCCCACAGCAAGTGCACAATGACCATCTACACGTAGATTATACGGATTGTACACAGCGCATTGCATTCCACGTGCAACCCCGTTGCTCTATGCTGCAACATGCCCTTGAACCGCAACTCCAAAGCACACTTCCAACTTAGTCATTTTCTCCCAAATCTTCCTCTGAGTCGATCCTACTTTCAGTTGTACATATAACCTGTACATTACCTCCGCTCACCCTCAGTTTTACCCTGTAAGAATTACGTGTAGATTTCCTAGCCATCCAGAGACTAAGTGTTGTACACAACCCAATGTACCGAGAAAGGCTCACCCTTTCCTTTCCCTCGTTGACCAAGTCCCCCGTAGCTCACCCACGAACAGCCTTTCACCCTCCCGCTCCCAAACTTCTTGGATCTTATTTGCTCTCCAGAAACTAAATCAGTGAAAACCAAGTATGTACAAAATCCCCGTAGACTTTTCTTCCATAGACTTTCTATGTGTATGAATTATTCATAACCACCCCAATCCAGTGCTCTCATTGGCTAAGACGTGGCCCCAAGAGTCTATATAAAGTGACCAGCTCCAGCGGTCGGCATCGATCATTCCCGAGCAGGCAGCTTTAGAGAAACAACTCCCTGACCGTTCGTGAGTGTATAGCTCCAATATGAACAACCTATCACTCCTGAATAAATAGTCAAATTTGGACGAGCAGTACTTGAGTGATATCCAGCCACACTAGTAGCAGTTGCTCATTGTAAATATGGAGAAGATGTAAATAATTCTTCGGAATAAAACAGTAGTGTGTGTATAAGTCAGTCCAGTGACTCTCATTCTTTATGGTAACGACTCCCTACCCCAAGAGAGACGTTACAGTATGTTATGAAAAAGCATGTGCTCCCCTTGGGCATGTGCATGACCAGAAGAGGGTCCTTTTTTCCATGTTACTTATAGGACCATCTTCTGGTCACTCACAGTCCTCCAGAGCACATAAATATGCACTTGTAACTTCATTGCCAGTCTTACAGGCATATTACTTGCTAAAATAAACTTGAGACAAAATACTAGGCCTTCAAAGGCACGCACAAGCTTTTTTGGCAGTGCACATACATGGACATGCACTTGTAAACATGCACAAACTATATAGACTTGTGTATAAATGTACATGTTTTTACATGTGGAAGCCATCTTAAAAAAATCATTACTTGAAACATTTGATGTAATACCTGTATAAATCCCCATCATCTGATTGATAGATTGTTGATCACATGTCATTTAATTATTCATTCTATTCAAGAGTACCTGTTGAATTAAACTTCATTTTACTTTGACTTGTTCCTGTCCAATTTCATATATATCTCATTCCCAGTAAAAAAGACAAAAATAACACCCGGGATAGAAACCAGTCAAACACTGCATAATACTTGTACCAGTGACTGGTGCTTCGGCCACAGATTTGTTTGGCAAAATGGTACATGTTAATACTTAAGCAGGATCTAATTGTTCTCCCAACAGAAGAGCATTTATGCAGGTATTGTATAAAACAAATAATGGATGTTTCATATTTGTGCAGTTGTAAAAATAATTTAATGAGGTAACAGATGACATGTTCATTCCATTCAATTTCATCTCATGCAATCGAACCTTTTATGAAATTATTCTCACCATAAATATTAATTATTTTACACACAGGAAGTCCATCACAAGATTTTCCAAGTACACATCTTGCTGATAACATAAACTTATATTTATAAGTTGTTTCTCGGTTTCAAGCTACAGTTTTGATTTTATTCATGAAATGAAGACCAATCTGAGGGTTTGAATGATATATCACTTGGTTTACTAGGTATTATGCTTCAGATCCAAGTGTTTAAAGTTAGAGCTTATGCAGATAAGTCAAAAGTATCCAAATCTCAAAAACTAATGAGTAAATTTTTAAAAGGCACTTCTGGAGGTTTCTCTTACAGGCCAATCATTTCACCAAATGTATTTATAATCTCTCAGGGTTGGGTGAAAAATCATGTTAGATTGACATGGAGTGGTTCTACAGCGAAAAATTGCTCCAAATGCTAATCTAAGAATAGAAATCTCCAGCATGTACAAGCATTAACAGAGAGTTCATCTGCGTTGAAGTTTGCATAATTTCCCACTGACTCTTAAGCTGCGCTATGAAACAAGCCCTTTCTTGTGTTAAAGGGGTCATGAATGTATTTGAACTTGTACTCAGTTGAGAAATAATTTAAATGTTGAAATAACAGTTGTCTTTGTTTATTAAGGAGTGACCAAAGTCTCCATGTTCCAAAGTCACTGTCTCATTCTGCAAATAGTGGTGATGGTGGAGATGAATATACAAGCTCAGAAACTTCAGAACTTGATACACTTGGATCGGTGAGTTGTCCTAAGCCTTGACCTATTGCTGTTCATAAATACAGTACAATGCAGCTTTAATGAATACTTCTGTAATTTAACTAAATGACCAACGTTGCTCTTTCAAAAATCACATGTGGAGTTGCATTTGGTTCATCTTTTGAAAAATATGCCCTATCCATTTTTATTACATCTGTGAAGTTTAACACTTATTTTATACATTTGTAATTCACATTGTCACATGTCACCCTGTGCATTAGCCTTTAGCCAAGGCACGCGTGGCACCAGGCACCGTGGATGCTTGGCTAGTTACATGAACTTGAAAAGACCAGTGTGAGCGGCAAAGTCACAAGGGTCTTTACTATCTCGTGAAGCTAATCATGCACACATGGAAGTGTTCACCCAATGATCCAATGAAAGAAAACAATGTTCCCTGGGCCAGTGGCAGTGGTGTTTTCCTTATGAGCGCGTATGATGTCAAATGGTCTAAGTAGGTGCAAGTATATTGGTTGATATCCACAGCATATAATGCATTAATTTTTCTACCAAATACATGTAGAAAGAAAGATGTAAAGAAAAAAGATCAGTGCTTTCCAGGGGATGGTAAAGGCTTCACCACATACATTGATAGTCTTCATCATGCTAGCCGCTGAGATACACATTGTGTGTCCTGGTAGCCATGCATGCCTTGAGAAAAGCTACCTGTGCATGGGCCCTTTCTAGACTTGTTGTGCATGAGAAAGTATAGTTACCATAGAGCACAATATAACAACTAGCCTTGTCCAACGTGGTTTACGCAGGCCATACGCATGCAAACCACAGCAAATATGCTGCCACCCTAGTACGGTTAACGGCGAACTACAGTGGATCCCAGTACACTGACTTATGAAGGCTATGCCACTCTCGTAATAAAAACGGAACCACCCCAGTCAGGTGTGTGTATACATATACATGTACCTAACCCCCTGTACATAGGTGCGTCAGCTGTCCATATCATGATGCTGAGTCGAAAAACCGCCTTGTAGAATCTGTATGTTTTTCTTTGTTTTTTCTTCCACTTTTGGGCAAAAATGGGGAAGCTCAGCGATATGTGGTTATGCCATCATGAATAAATCAAAGCTATTCTAGAGCCATAAATCATGCTTCCCAAAAATATAAATTATTCATTTTTGGGGACCAATCATGAGCCTCTTTGATTACATCTATACACATAATCACTATCAAGCAGCTACTTGCAGGTACCGGTACGTGGTGCACTGTTACCAGCTACAGTAGCTATAGCTTGCAGTACAGTCTAGTACGTGGACATGTGTACATACTTTGACCAATACCATCCATTTCTCGCTAGGGGGGGTGCCCTTTGTTAGCGTAATGAGTTGTACTGCCACGGTACAGAACCATCAAGGCATCGGGTTACGGACCGGGACAAGTCAGGCACGTGAGCAAGCTGAGAGTGGGGCAATGGTTTCACTGGGAATCAAATGTCACTCAAAGCAACGGCCCGATGTACTGCGCAATGTGCTGTACGAGTTGAAAGCAAACCTGCTGCAGTGAAGGGTGTTTTGCAACAGCAGGCCTGATGGCCGGGGTTGTCAAATCATTGCCCAACGCCTTGATCAAGGCTATATAGAAGCTAGATTATTTTTTAAAAATATGCCTGCTGGGTACATTCATGTTTGTGCACAAAACTATGGAAAACTTGAAATTTTGTATGACTTTTGTATGGCTATTTGCATATCTGCATCTGTATTCTGTTCGGCTCTGCCAAATATCCGAATAACCGAATATTCGATCGATTGTTGAATATTAGAATTATTTTTCGAATTTGAATATTCGAATGCAAAATTCATGAAATGTAAGGGGAAATTTTCTTTTGGTTGTAAATGAGAAACATTACGCTATGGAGGCTTGTTTCAAGCAGATTCAAATGAAAAGCTCAGAAATCTTACAAAGACTGAAAAAGTCAATTAGTCATTGAACAATTGAAAAGGAATCATAATTGTTGACGGGGCTGTAAGTCTTGTTCATCTCTTAAATCTTGCTAAATCGTGGCTGGAGATACTCCTAGATGTGAGACGCTATTATATTGATCGCAATGTACAAATGTGTGTGTTATTGCAACTGATTTTGTATATATAGTTTGTTCCTCAACAATCTGCCGGATGGTATGACCCAATATTTGGATATTCGATCAAATTGAAGGTCAAATATTCGAATAGTAAATTATTTGAATTGACTCAGCCCTAGTATTCTGAAACGAAGCGTCAACGAAGCCAATACGCAAACAAGTGCACAATCAGTTAATGAGCATTTCATTTTGCTCTGCACCAGAAAATGCAAACCCGTGCATGTATGTGCTGCACATGAATTTTGCTTGAGCACTCTTCCCAGGCTTTACTTTTGTTAGTTAATTTGTTTTGGTGTTTGTTTGTGGGGGTGTTTGCTTGTTTGTTTTGATTTTTCTAACTCTCTGAAAAACGAGGTACATTATACCACTGTTTCTTAAACTAAAAGCTATGACATATCCAGACATCCAGAGGGGGGGTGGGCTCTAGCATCATGAGCCATTTTCTGGGGAAACTGACCTATTGTCATTCAAGAGCATTATCCAATCACAGTTTCTGTGGAAAATCAAGTGATATTCCAAACCTTGAACAAGAAAAACATGTGATTTACTGGCAAGTGCAGCTGCATGGCTTGTTCATTGATATGCATTATGTGAATGCATGTCAAAATACAGACACTCTTTTACGTCTGCATGTTGCTCATCTTGTTTGCAATACATTGACTGGACATAACTGTATTTCTTCCACTTATATACATGAAAGTTTTATTACACATATTAGCCAAGCTCTAATTATCAAAAAATATGGTGCAGCTCACAATTGGGATGCCACACTTAAAAAGAAGTAATGATAATGTCATAAAATTCTTTGTTATTAGATTCTGAATGTTCATTATATTCCTACAATGGTCAATATTTGCCTTGAATAAAATAAAATTGCCTGGAAACATCACAACTTCAGTGGACTTCTACCTAACATATATTGCAATGACATCATGATGATGTTACAAAGTGATACTATGTAGCCACTTAAGAAATCAGCTAAAACACAGCAGACACGGGTAGGAGTATGTTCCAATGTGTGAATTTGGTTTTTCTGTCTGACATCTGACATAAAGACATTTACAAAGGAAATTGCATTGTCTGACAAAATAACTGTCTGCCTGATTACTCCTATGTTTGTAGCCAGTTTACAGCAGATTCATTTTTTACATGTGAATCAATCATTTTGCAGATGCCCACATGGATACAGAAAGAACTTAAAGATTCTGCAACTGGCGCTGGTGAGAATGATGATGAAGATGATGGTAGTGATGTTGATGTGAACACTGAAGAAAATGACCTCACTCTTGCGAGCATAAAAATTAACAAGGATATAAATGTCCTTAAAGGTATGTAATTTATTGTATATAATTGAAAACACGATGAAAGTCTGCATTGAAATGTATTGCTCAAAGTGAGTAAATTCCTTGAAGCATGATGGCAAGAGTTTTGCATGCAAGGACATGTACATTATACAGTGGTTGCCTGCTCTGTAAGGGTCCATGATGTTTCGTATAGCTGATGGAGTAAATGGCATCAGAGGCCAAATCGAGCATACCATTTGAAAGTGGGGTTGTCCAAAACCTATTGACCCTGTCACAACAGGCAACAATGATTTTGTTATTGCACAAGGAATAGATTTTACAAACAAAAGGGAACAAAAACATTGTCATACCTCTGTCTTATATACTGTCCATTTATTGGCCCAGAACGATCACATGACAGGGCAACATATCCGTATATCACACTCACCGTGAGACATTTCTTTCTACCGATGATGCGTGCACGCACAAGCGTACACTCGCAAATCAGAAGACCCCCGAGAAGTTCGAGAACGAATGATTTTTCAGTCAGTTTTGCGTGGTACCCACGATATGTTTCGTGCATAGGCTACCAGGGAAATCAATCGATGGTTGCACTCGTATAACAGACCTGTTCCCGTTCCTGCAACTTACAAGGCATTGCAGAGACCCCTAACCAGACTATATAAATGTATTCACTGGTACCCGCACTTGTTTCATTTTAGAGTTTACACAATTAACGAAAGTGAGGGGACAGTGCATTTGCACATGATACCATTTGCATCTTTTATATTAATTCTTAATTTTTACAGTAGGCCTATTGTCCTCTGAAATAAAGAGTTTGCTTCTCTTGATAAATTCCTTAAGACAGAGTGTCACAGTGCTCACTTTACGGCCACTGCAACTAGAAGGACTGGATGCAGGCCAGAAAATGATTGTAACAAAACCCAATCTGTACTATTTACAATATTTGATATGAATTTATTTACAAAATTTCTCGATTCTATAATACAAAATATACACCATTCCGTATTTACAATCAGATGTCTCTCAAGTGAGTGTAGCTACAACTCAGAATTAAATTAAACTTATCAAATGAATGTCGATTCACACCCGCATGAAAATCAGCATTTGCAATTCAAGTATTTACAGGTAAGTACAGGTATGTGTGAATTAAAATTTTGAATTCACTGTAAATTCACAAACGAGTGCATCAAAGAGATACACTTGATAATTTCCAATTTCTGTAATACATGTATATGCTGTAAAATTTCAGCTCTGAAAAGCACCTCAAAATAAAAGAATTATCAATTAAAGTTCCTGCGAGGAAAATAAGTATTCGAAAGAAAACTTCTAAACAAATGTCAATATAAACTCCAGAGAAAACAAGGTTGATTAAAAGTATGCCACAAGCTGGAATAACCTGAAAGGTTCAAGGCATGTACATGTAATAGCAGATCTTTCAGTCAAAATTCACAAGTGTTATCACTACATGTATGTCTGCTCTCAAATTAAAATATCTGACATACAGTTCGACGTAATATCAGTTTGTCCCTCCTTGATTATAAGAATCTGCCCTTGCTAGCTTGCTCATCGACTCTGGTACATCTGCGGGACCACCTCCGCAACTTAGATCTGAACCCTCACTGCAGTGTGCTGTGACCAAGGTTACATCGGAATTCAAGAACCAGCCGTCGAGCGTGAGGAGGAATGAAACTCAACCAGTCTTTGAGCCAAGCTCACATCTTCAAGGCCATGGTTTTCTCCATTTTTCTAATCTTGGAATGTCAATCAGCCGCTATGATGATCCTGACAACCAATTTTGCCTCATAAGCAGCCTGACAAATCTGCTACTGGCTGTGGCAAATGGCACAACCAAAGTACAAAACTCGCGCGGCACTGGGATAGGGACTATCAACTCAGCCCACACACCTCATCATCATGATGCATCTCTCAGGTCTCTACTGTCTATCACTGTTCATCACATTTATACTCAGTTGTGCTCTGTTCACATTCAAATCGCCCACAGAACTCCAGCCTTATTTTCTTTATCCACACAACCTGTGACAAATCTTTACAAAAGAAAGCTCCACTGCAATACAAAAGGACAAAGTAGTGCATCCAAATTCTAAGTACAGAAAGCCGTGGCCCTGGTCATTGATGTGTAACCTGAAGAAGTGATGAATTAAACATGAAGAGAAAGTCTAGTGAATAATACATGCCAAAGTTTAGTTCAGATAAATTGGGCACTGGAGCTGACACTGAAATAGAAAATATCTGACATTAATTGACCTGGTAGAAAAATAGGAATAAAATATGGAATTAATTAATGGAGAATTCTGACACAGAGGTACATGTATGACAAAATAATAGTTGACCGCTGTGGTGTGAGATATGACGTCTTGAACACCACAGCGGTCAACAATTGTTATGCGATAAACTCTTTACTGTGTTACAGTGCATTTTATTTCACTGAATTTGTCTTCACCATATTCACCAAAGAAGTGATTAGTTAAACAAATTCTACTAAATTGAATAATTAATAGGGACTACCATATTTTTCTCAACATTTGTAAAGAAATTGTCCAGAAAGCTATCTATTTCTGTCATGGTTAAGATTTGAAAAAGTTGGGTCTTTGCCTTAATGGTGGTACATACACTGAATGTTCCATAATTTTCTTCATGATGATGCTGTCCTGCTCAAAACCAAAGTTTCAATCGTATTTTAGAATGAGAGAAAAACCTCTCCTGAAAAACTAACTTGGTGTCATCTATGGACATTGAAATTACAGTGAAATTAGCCTACAATGCAAACAAAGTGGCAGTCGTACCGTAGCAGAAAGAGTGCTTTACTCTGCCCCATAGCACATCTTACATACATGAACTAAGTTAGTATGAGTGCAGCTGTACAACTTCATACCCTAGGTCATACCAATGCAATGTTGTGGAAACGTCACTTTTAACCATAGGAAAGATCAGTGTTTACATCATGTTTACATGCTGGTTAGATTGTGCCTATACTTACAATATTGACCTTGTCATTGACAGTGTTTTTATTATTATTATTTTTATTGGATTATCATAACATTTGCTCCTTACAGCCTGCTGGATAGTTTACTTTTCAAAGTTTAACAAATTCATATAGGTTAAAGTTCAATAAACAGTATAAACCACTTAAAGATGTATGTGAAAAAGAGAGCTAAATAAAATTTTAAAAGGCACAATAAATACTAATATACATGTACATGCACAAAAAACATCCTCATGAAAAATCTCAATATGAGAACAAATACATTTAATGGGATGCTGGGAATGCTCTGAAAGAGTTACACAAGTCTGTTGAAATGTGAAACTGGACTAATTTTGAGAACAATTGTTTTACATATGGCCTCACGGAGAGTTCTTTTTGACCTCAGATTCATTGAACGATGTTTTGCTTTGCTTGGCTTTGACTGGCTTGTTTGTTTCAATCTTGAGGTGTATCAGTATGAGAACTTTATATGGGATCATTGCTCTGACATGTTGTTTACACATACGTATTTAATGGAGAAATCAAACTCCCAAATGTCACAGGTTTTAATAGTGTTACAAACACCATTTGCATGTACATTTATGAAAATACTGCAGCGTGTCCTACTGATAGGGTTGTGACGCTAATACAGACACACACAGGTAGCCACAAATCGCTGTTCTGGCCAAGAAACCTTGGTTTTATATCTCTCATGTACAACACTGTGTCGATCCAAAAAAAGCTCTAGACATGAGGCAGGGACTGGGCAGGCACGAGGCGGGAAAACCGCGGGCTGTTCGCATACCAGCAGGGGCAGCCAGCTATCTCCATGCGGGTCCGAGCTGGTGCCCCCATCGGCCGGACCCGCCGGCGCTACAGCACTGTACACTTCTGTGCTGTATGCACGCTGTGTGTGTGCACATGTAAGGGATGGGATCCCTTACCGAACTTTGGTATAGTTTTCGTGTATTTGTGTTGTAGTTTTGGTGTTGTCTTGGTGCAGTTCTTCTGTACCCCTGCCTGGATTAAAGCACACTCTGGTGTACTTCCGGTGCATTCTAAAAATTTAAATGAGAACCAGAAATGCACCACTGGTGTCATTCTGGTGTACTGTAGCAGGGTGTACCTCATGGTACCCACTACAAATGCATGATGAACTGGTGTACCTGTGGTACTTTCCAACAATTTAAATTAGCACAAGAAATGCACCACTGGTGTCATTCTGGTGTGCTGTAGTGTGATGTGCCTCTAGTGAACACCACAAATGCACCAGGAACTGGTGTACCTTTGGTGCATTCCAACATTTTAATTAGCTCCAGAGAAACACCACTGCCATGACAGCAGGTGTCATTCTAGTGTACCAAGATGTGGTGTACATGTAAAAGCGCACCACACCAGGGAATCGTCTGCTGCTTTATTCAAACACGTAATCGTGTATAATTTGTTACAGCACATATGTAATTTACTCTTCCTATTCACTCCTTTCCCAAGAAGTTCAATATACTAACCATTTATGCATGCAAACATTTACGATGACAGAGGTGTCAGTAAAATTAACCACTGAAGATTCACGAAATGTGCATGGAGATGTCTGAGTGATATGGACGGATTACTGAGACAGTTCACTACATTAAAGACTGTTTACACTACGTGTGATTTGAATTATGAACAATTAACCTGACAAAGCTTACACTATGCACGCCGATTGTAGTCCACAGTGTTGCTGTTACTGAACTATCCTCTATAAAAATGCTGTTTGACTGAACAATCTGTTCATGTACAAACACAACTAGTGCTTTATCAGAATGAAACTCTGATCTCTGTGGGGATTTTAGGTACGTTTTGATCTCACTGACTTTCTGGAGAGCAATAAAGTTCAGAAAGATGGTGAGAGGTTGTTTGTGGGTACACTGTATGAGTGACTTGGTCAATGTGGGAAAGGAAAAGGGGGAGCCTTTCTTGAGACATTGTGTATAACACTTAATGATAATACTAATGATAATAAATGACATTTATAAAGTGCCCATCAAGCTGCTCCCAGGTGCTGTACAGCAGAATAAGTGTGAATGAAGAAATTACATAACTAAATTAATGAACAAATAAATAAGAAATAAATAAAACCTACATGTACCATAGTTAAACTCAATACTGAGAAACTAAAAATGCTTGTTTAAAATGGTGCGTCTTCAGCCCGGTCTTCTTGGAGCACTGTCGTGAAGACATTTAAATATCAGGAGACACACTTTAAAAATCACCCTGTATTTACTGGCAACCAATGTAATTGCATCAGCGCAGGAGTAACGTTGTCAAATTTCTTGCCATTAGTGAGTAGTCTTGCTGCAGCATTCTGGACTCTCTGCGAAGGAGCAAGGGCTGAGACCGATAGACCAATTAAAACAGAGTTACAGTAGTCAATGCGAGACGTAACAAGTGCATGAATAATCTGCTCCGTGGCTGACTGACCCAAATAACGCTTAATTTTGCTTATATTGTATAGGTGATACATTGCAGTGCAAGAGACATTCTTGATGTGGGATTGCATATTCATTTTGTTGTAATCACACCCAGACTCTTCACTTTAGAGAGTGCGGTAATATTGTGATTACCAATATTCACAACAGTCCTAGGAATTCTGCTCAACGACATATGCAATCCAATGATAAGCAGATTGATTTTATCATCATTTAGCTTCAAAAAATTAATCGCCATCCAACATCTGATGTCGTCACAGTATTTTTCTAAAACTGACACTTGTTTCTGTATGTCACTGGCAGTTGGCTGTGCTGACAAATACAACTGAGTGTCATCTGCATAAAAATGACAACTCAATCCATTATGCCTAATAACATTCGTAAATGGCAACATAAACACATTGAATAAAAGTGGTCCGAATGCAGAGCCCTGGGGGACACCGTACTTAAGTGTATAGGCGTCACTCATGGTTCCGACATCCGATCTACTTCGACCATCAGGCGATAAAGACCGAATCTGAACTCTTTGTAAACAGTCTCTAAGGTAAGAAGAAAACCAGTCAAAGGTATTTTGTGAGACTCCAACATGTGTCTTTAATCGATGAAGCAAAATGTCATGATCAAGTGTATCCAAAGCGGCACTTAGATCAAGAAAAGCCAGAATGGAAACTTTACCCTCATCCATATTTTTCCAAATGTCATTTTAAATGCGGGTGAGAGCTGTTTCCGTCCCATGGTGGCGCTTATATGCCGATTGAAAAGGTTCATGTAACATAAACCTAGTCATATGATTAGTCAGTTGTTGCGCAACCACCTTCTGAAGAACCTTAGAGACAAATGGTAAATTAGCAACTGGCCGATAATTCTTAAGCAGCTCGGCTTGATCCGCCTTGAGGTTGTGAGATTTTTGAATGGGAGTGACAGTAGACATCTTAAAATCATTTGGGAAAATGCACGGTTAATGGAAGAATTAACAAGAGATGTGATTATCGGGGAAATTTCCGGCAGACAGCATTTTAAAAGTGCAGTCGGTATTGGGTCAGCACCGCAAGTCTTTGGAGAACACTTGCGTATGATTTGCTGGATCTGTGCACAAGTGGTGGATCCTAAATTAAGCTTACATCCTTCAGGAAGGGTTGGATCTGGAATATCAAAATCTCCTTGACCCACACTACTCATATGTCGTAAGTTGCTGATCTTATCTTGAAAGAAATTAACGAATCGATTTGCCAACTCGACTTCAGACTTATGAGTAGGAAATGTAGGAACTGACTTACGGCATAACAAATTATCAATCACACGAAAAATATGGTTACAGTTCCCCCTGCTCTCATGGATTAAGCTTTGATAATAATGCACTTTCGCATCCTTGATCATCTTCACAACGTGATTACATTGCATTTTATATATCTCCCGGTCAACAGTGAGTCGAGTACTTCGCCAGTGGTTCTGTTTTTCTTTTTTTTTACGCTTAATTTTCTCCTTCCTAATGGTCTCAGTAAGCCATGGTGTATTCGACCGTATAGTGAGAACTTTTGATTGAACAGGAGCATGCTTGTCAAGAACCAACCTTAATTGCAAATTGTCAAAAGCTACAAATGCGTTGGGGTCGGGTAATGAAGTATCATCCAAATAGGTTGAAAGTCCAGAACAACGAATGTCTCGACGAAAATGTTCACAGTCTACGTTTTTAATCCTCCTGAATGCCACAGATCTCTGCGGTCTCAAAGGCTTACTGATTTCTAAAGAACACGTTATCAGTGAATGATCAGAAATAGCAGGATCAAAAACATGTACAGATTTGATAATGTCCATAGATGGAGGAGAAATAAGAAGATCTAAAACATGACCTTTAATATGGGTTGGGGATGATACACGTTGAATCAAATTGCAAGACTCAAGAAAATTAATAAAACAAATCATATCATGTGCTTGAGTTTGATCCATGTGAATATTAAAGTCTCTGACTATCACAAAATCGGATGATTTTGACATGAACTTAGTCCCTAGATTGCCAGGAAATCCCCACACAGTTATGGGTTAAAACTGTAAGTGAGAAAAGGTGATTTGACCTTGCTGTACTGTAACCGGACACAGATTTTTGGCATATGGGTGGGGGGGTCTTTGTTAGTCCAAAGTACTGATAAAATTTTTTTGATTGAAACTAGGATCAACACCGGGAAAAATTTGGGGGGAAAATTATTAAGTTGGAAATGTGCTACGGACTTTGTGGTTCAAGAGCATGTATGCTGCAGCATAGTTCAACTGCTCTCAATGCTTGTAATGGGATATGGTTCGTTGCATACTTGCTGTGGGCTATTAAGTACACAGTGTGTAAAAATAACATGCATGTGTGTATAAGGGAATACTGGTGGAACTAATGATGTATAATGGTCACAGATTGCAGATGATCTCCACATATGGCCCAAACAGTGGACAAAACACTAAACGCATGTCATGAAAAAAAAGTTTCATGCATAATATGTAAGCTGTGAAATACAAAATTGGTGAAAAGCTTACATGAAAGGAGCTATTTACAGATTTGGGCAACACAGAATTTAAGAAAAAGTAATGGCAGCTGAACAATAACAGTGCCCTCCTTCCTCTTCTAAATTCTAAGCAATTGGGGCTTGTTAAACTTTTCTGGCTGTGCTTAGTTTCCATAATATTATCTCATTATGGCAGTATGGGGAATGATGGCTTCATAAGTTAAAAATGTCCCTGACTTGGACAAACATTCAGTCTATTTATTCGGAGGCCAAGTTAGCAGGAGACTATTAGGCAGAAAAGTAGCTTTCCGTATGGTGCACCATTATCTGCTGATTTTACAGCTAGTTCTGGTTCACTATTATGGAATCATATGCTGTAACAGTGGTGTTTAAAAATTGCCTCAATTAGAAATACCTCTATTTCAAAGATGGATTTGCGCCAGGGAGATGTAAATTAATTTTGGATTTTTGCCCTGCCCAATATATTTTTTGCCCTGCCAGTAGCATTGACATTTACATACACATTGATGTTCAGATGCTGAACCTCTCCAATATAGCAAGAACATTTGTTTACTGGGAACTACTAATAACTTTCGGTGGGTTTTGGTCACCAATACTTACCAGAAAGTTGCACCAGAAGTGTCACTTACTGAAGGGTTACTTTTTTTAGCCTGACATTTTTGCGCCAGTGTCACTTTGATCACAAGCCAGAAAGATCACCGTACAAATCTTGGCCATGTTTAAATTTCATGGGTGATACACTCCACCTGACAGAAGTATGTTTACCGGTGAACATACTTTTCCAGTTGAGGTGTCCTAAGGAGGCCTTTGTATACTCAGAGATGGTTGATTTAGGTCAGACTCAGTAACTGCTCAGTGAAGTTCTGCCTCTCTTCTTCCCCACTTCCCTGATGTGTTTGGAGGTACAGTCCCCAAATTTAACATTGGAAGTGACACTACTCTTGTTATTGTCATCAGTTAGATCTTCAGAACATCATGCTGGTTGATGGTTGAGTAGGGTTTGAAGAAAGTTTGAAAAAATCTACTGTTTGTACTGTATACAAACTTTTCTGAAGCCATTTAGCAATGGCAGTTGGCAATCTCTAAGCATGGTACCGGACGTAACACTGTCTGAACCAGCATACATCCTGTGGATGAGGGTTATTAGTTCACACCAGTTTACAAGATGATCGTGCTAACTTATAAAAGCAAAGCTGTTTAATTGTGTCACGATGAACAAGGCAGCCAGATAGTTACTGAAAGTTGTAGAATTTTCTTGTGCATGTATGCAAGTGATGGTGACAAAAAAATCAATTGAGAATCATGTTTATTCATCAACCAGCATCTTGTTTTCTTCTTCTTTTTCCAGGAGTGAAACAAATCAACAAAGAAAAAATGGGGCAGAGGATCACTGCATTGGATCAGAAGGTATATTTTGAAATGTGTGTTGTAACCTTGAAATATGTGTCCAGGTTCTGTAGAATAAGTTTATACTAAACACATGGCCAGAAGAGTGTGCCATTTAGTTTCTGATTTGGAAGTAATGATAAGTCATTTACATAACAACAGGTCTATGTCATCAAATATTTTGTTACAGACTGCAAATGTAAATGTAGTTCACTTTAAAAAAAAATAACAGGTCTCTTGGCATTCATTTGGCCCTGGAAGAAAGCTTGTTACTTTCAGCTTGAATGTAATATTAATTTCTTTGAAATTAGAATCACCTGTGCCTCCCCCCCAGTTGAAATCCACGAACAACCTCTGCTGCAGCTTGTTGTCTTTTGGTGCCCTCTGAAAAAAAATGTGTGTACCCCGGGTGGTTCCCGGACACAGTTACACCACTGTGAGCCATCCTCAGATTCCAGGGAAGCTATTCATATGCATAAAATATCTACACTTTCAGATTGATATGAAAACATGGTCAGAAACATGTATATGCACATGCCTACCTAGTACATAAATTAATTGTGCGCCTTTTGCTCTATGCACACAACTCTATTGTGTCTAGTGGAGGAGGTTTAATAAGTATTCTTTTTCATGGCACAAATTGACAATTTGGGTTTTGTTTGTATTATACATGTGAAATCCACATCTGAATTTGTCTTCCTGATATCTGCCCATCTTCAGTAGCCAATACAAAATGTATCAAAGTTCATGAAAAAATGTGACCGGCTCTAGAGAAATGGGTAATAAGTTGCAAGATTCAGGTTATCAATTTTTGATATGGCCGGATTGAGAACATCAAAAGCTACAATTTGATTTATGAATGACCCTTGTGCACTGCGTTCCAGAGATATTTTGACATTTGTATATCCACATTTTCCGATTCAATAAAAGCACTTTTTGAGGAAAAGCTCAGAAAGTGTAGCACTTGGAAACACAACACTATGTAGCATTTCCCACTGAATGATCAATTTTTCATCTTTATTCTTCAGTATTCATGTCTGTAGTCACAAATTCTGAAAACATAAATGTTATACAAGCTAGCAGAGGAAAAAACACAAAATCACATTTTTGAAGACATTTTGCCCTCTCCAAATAGAACAGGCCATTATAACATATTTTGGAATTGCGCGACTTATTACCCTTTTTTGCAGAGTGGGTCGCAAATGGATTAACTGGTTTGCATTCCATATGGCATGCTGGATTGTTCGTGTACTGTCTGTAATGTTGATATAGCCATGAGCTTCCACATTATTAGTGTTAATGTGTCAGTGTTCCAGTTATGAAATGACTACAGGTTTTCCAGGAAACAGACAATATAATTAGAATTATGAGCATAGAACCATGTGTGCACACCAGAAGTCGGCAAAGTTTGGATTTCAAAAACCACTATCAATTGTTTAGTAACAATTTTTGTGCATGAAAGTCTGCCTTCATCTGAAGCACATTTCCATGATCTGTGTCAGACTTATCTAGCCCAGAATATTCACACTGTGAAATCAGACAGCTTGAGGTCATCAGAGAGTGGAATTCAAATGACATCTGATCAACATTCAAGTGACTCCAGCTCTTGTGGAGTGCGACAGAACATGCAGAGGTAAGAAATGAAGTAGCCATGTTAATATTTCAGAAAATATTATTTTCTATTCAAACATATTTAAGCACCCTTGAATTATTGTTCAGCTTTGTCAACCCATAAGAGTCATCTCAATTACCAACCAGTCAACTAATGTTCATTGTCCCTTGGATCATTGGATCACCCTGATTAACTTGATTTGTTATATTATATCTTATAGTGTAATATTTTATCAGTCTACAGTGGCAATGTGTCCATTGTATAAAAATACATGTTTTATCTGTGTCATATAAAGTGCATGTCTGTAGTTATCATACAACTAGTGAATGTTTAAAATGTGTGCATATGAATAATGAATGTTTATTGCTGTGGTAAACATAACTCCATTCAGTGACAGATGGGATGTTTCATTTCATATAATATGGGTGTTGGAACCAGTTAAGTGAATTGAAGTTCTATTCAACAGGTACAATGGAATAGAATGAATAATTCAAGGGGCATGTGAAGATTGATCCACCAGTCAGATGATAAGGATTAATGCAGGTATTTTGGGGGACTGCACTATTCTCAAGACCACTGAATCGTACACTGGGGTTGCAATATTTCAATGTTCCTTGATTATTCAGTGTCACGTTGGTATTGTTATCAGATCTTCAGTCATATTGATTTCAAGATATACTTTGCAACAGGGAGAAAAAGTTTGCGGTACGCATTGCCGCATTTGACTCAAACTGGCCAGCCAACCCTGGCAAGCTTGGTGGTCGAGTGGTTAAGACATCTTCATTAGCAAGCAAGAGGTCATGGGTTCTAGTCCCACTAAGTAAGCATGTGATTTTTTTTCCAAGCTCCCAGACATACACTGCGCATCCGTTGTTATGAATATATGCCGGTATAAGAGCAAATCTGTAATTAAGCATTCCATTGCATTAAATTATCAAAATCTTATTGTGGAAACATCTAAAGTATCAACAGGTTTTCAGACAAAATCTCCTGTCTGTGGTTTTGTGGTTTAATTTTGAATACAAAGTCACAATGACTTTGTGAGCACAGAACCAGCCTAAGATTTGTCATGATTAGAATTTTAAGTAAAAAAAAAGTAATGCTCATGTGCCCGGCAAATTGTTAACTTAAATTGTCACTGATGGCTAAATATTCACTGCCTCAAATTTAATTTAAAAAATCAGTACTATCAGGCTATGGGTATTGTTGGATGAGGAATGACGAGGACACAGACACAAATGTGGTTACAGCAGATGGACTCCAAGGGGACTTTTCTCAAGTGTAACAAATTGTGACTTACGTGGTTCTGAGAACTAAAAAGTCCTTGGTAACTCTTCTAATGGTAGGGACCTAAATGCCCTGACGTGATGTCTGCTCTTCAGTCTTGCCTCCGAGTGAAGAACCAATGCTGTTCATGTGCACTGTTTTCATGCCCAAGTGTAGCAGTAAAGAAGTATTTTAGAAATAGCATGAAGTGGACCAAAATGATTTGGGGTTCATTCACACAGTGCAACACGAGATTCCCCTCATAGACCCGACCCCCTTCAGGCAGCCATATCGACNTGGAGTCTACTGGCTACTCACCCTATTACCTGATGTTCTTGCAGGTTGGCAGTCGGTGAAGTTACACACATATTTGATACCAGTCAAGTTCTGCCCTGAAAGCTCAGACCTGCGGTAGACTTGATAGTTAACGCTTGAGTTGAATTGATCTGTAACTTTTCTTAGGTGCTGTGTTGTTTTGTTGGTTTTGTTGGTTCTTTTTTTTTTTTTTTAGTCTTTTAGTTTGGATTGGTCTTGTTTTAGATTGGTTAAGCCTTACCTTGATTTTGGGGCGGGTTTACTTTGATCTAGGATTGGTATAATTTCGAAAATTAATTTTGGTCTTTGTCATAATTCTCCTACTTTTTAAGTTTTGCTTCTGCAATTCTTTTGACTAGATTTTCATGTCTTTGGATGAATATTTTTAAATCTGATTTTTGACAGTCCTGTTTTTTTAGTTCTCCAGTTAATTTCTTTTTTTGGATATTTTTAGAAGAAATAAAATATTTTGTTTTTGTTGGAATCAAGTTTCTGCTTCTGCATCCCTATTCTTTTAGACTTCTTGCGACTCCTCCTTTTTCGATCCTTTTGAAAGTATTTTTTCTTCAAGTTTCTTCGTTATTTTTTATTCTTATTTGAAGTGTGCCATTTTTCCCCGTTACACTATCATTTATTCAAGGACTGGCAATACCAAATGTCAGTTGAAACCCTCTGCCCATTCATGAATTAACAGCTTAGACAAAGTAATGTCAAGGGATTAACCAAAGTCAAGTGATACTGTGTGTTGGACTGACTGCAGTAAAACCTCTAGGTAAGGTCTCTACTGAACCATTATTACACAAAGGCGATTATATACAATAGGCAGTGGATATTTAGCCACAGGGCATATTTAAATAAATGATACGGGAACAGATGCAGTATTCTATTTTTTGGGGGGGGGACTGTACTTGCGTTTACAAAGGTTTAGCTACAGGAAAAGGTTAAAACAGTGAGTTTCAACTAGAGAACAAAGCAATATGGCCAGAGGTTAGGGCTGTGGTTTCCAAATGTACTTGGTTCCTCGGTGAACTGTAAAGGAGTACTCACAACACCTTACGTAGCACTTGAGCCATGAATATAATACATACTGATGTGTGCAACACTGCAAAATTTTAAAGTCACTCTAAAATGAGGAGTTTATGAAAGATAAACATAGGCCTTAAACTGTAATTTGATTCTTCATCTGATAACGTCATTATTACATAAAGTAAATTTTCATCTAGAACACTTCCTTAATACTTTGAAGGATGCACAAATAATGTCACATGACTCATCTGCTGATGACATTGTCATCATATGATGTTAATCCCCATTCATAAACCTTCCCATTCTAACTATCTGCAGTGTTTTAACCCAATCAGACATGTACAACACAAAATACAATGCAAAACATTATTGTTATCTCGGAAGAGTGCAGATTTGACATATTAAACATTTGTCCCATCTGGCGTTCCATATGATGCAATCTGCTCTCAGCACCATGTGCTTGGAAATTAGCCAATTCCCGGGTATTTGCTCAACGCACTGTGTGCTGCCTATGTTACAGGCAGATATTGCGTGTCCATGCACAAAGCTAGTGGCCAATGCACAGTATGCGAATGGGATTTTCAAGTTCGCAATTTATATTGTACAGGGGGTTTGTCGTTGGCGCTTAATCTGTGTGAAAGAAGTACACCAATCATGCACTTCATGCAGCTGACTCCAATGTTTTAGCTATCATCTAATGGACAATTTACACTTAATCTGTTACAGTTGATTTTTGTACTGAATTTTGAAGAATGAAAGGAATTTTTGTTGTAACTTCCAGTATGATGACATCATCGGCCCCAAATTTGACATGTGTTAATTAGGTAAAGATTATCATCCATATCAATTTTCAGGTGATTCACCACAGACATCTATTCAAAATTCATTTTTCAGAATTTGTAACCCATCGCAAGAGGGCACTAGACAATGCTTTGAAGAATACTATACCCCAACAGACTAACAGCATTGAAAACAACTCTATACCTATTACCACTTTTAAACAATAAGCCCACTTTCAGTTTCGACCAGAAGGAAGAGTCATGCGATTTGACCCACATGAAATGAATTAAAGACCACATTTTACCCTGCCACTTGCAGCAAACAGAATGTCGTGGTAGGCCACAGTTGATTTTATATGGGTTTGCAAAATTTGGGACCCTTATGCGTAGATGTGTCGACAACAATTACGTCATGATGACGTCATCAAGTGATTTATTATTGATTTTTCAATATTTCTTTCAGCCCACTGACTTTGTACACGTTTTCGAGGCACTATTTTGGTAACTTAGCAATGTTCGATCGTCATCAAAGTTACACCAAGCACTCACCTAAAGTACATGTACATGTCTGATTCGGTTCAAAACTTGACATATATGAACGTGATGAAATCATTACACCGTAAGGTTTGTGCTTTAGATTAGTTGCTCAAATTTACAAAAGAATGTGAAAAAGCTAACAGAAAGATAACCTCTGGTTTCTTCTTCCTGCACTTCTGCCAAAAGCCCATTTAAGTTGTGCACATTTCTTCCACCATCGACTTTAGTCCTTTTGCAACTTTGGATCTTCATGACACTTGAATGGATGAAGGACCATAGTTGCATAGATGGTCCTAAAACAAGACGTCATAATGACATCATCAAGTGATTTATTATTGATATTTTAATATTAATTTCAGCCCATTGACTTAAATTTGCACACGTTTTCATGGCACTATTTGTGTACTTTGGCAATCTTCAGTTATCATCAAAACCCTGATGCTAAAATCAGTCCTAATTTATGACTTCGTAATGACATCATCGTGTGATGTTTTATTGATTTTTTGAATATTTAATTTTTCCCCATAGGTTTTGTACTTATTTTTTAAGAATTAGCACTCTTGCACATCTGACCGATTCCATATTTGTGCACACTTGTAGTCTACCATCTAGAGAGGGTCCTAGAACAAAATTGTCATGATGACATCATCATGGGTGACATGACATGAGATTATAGTTGCAGGTTTTCTGTACAGGTTTTGTACGTTTTTCTACTACACACTCTTATCGATCTTAATGAGTGAGTAGTCTTGCAGTAAATATTTCTCAGGGACAAATGTCAACCTTTTTGGGTGTTATATTAGGAACATGCTCCTAAAATTGTGTGTATATTAAAGGGATTTTTTAGCCAAAGCCAGCAAGCAGAAATTGATTACCAAAATGATATTTTAAGATGATATCACGTGATAGGTGGTCATTGTAATTTTAATGGACACGTCTTTGGTGCATACCAGCAGGTGTGAAGTTCGATATTGATGTAAAGGTAGTGTTTGTGATTTGGTATTTCTCCAATTTTTAAAATTGGCCAATTTGGGGGTTTGCTATTACATTGAGTGTAATCCCATTGACGTACGTCATTTTTGAGTTTACTGCTTTGAG